TATCCTCGTATATACCAATGCTATTTTGCCTCTTATAAACGACATTTATTAAAAAAGAAAAGAATATTTAATATTATATGTATAATTAAGATGAATTTTAAATAAATTTAATTTTGATCGTTTATATAAAATTCAATTATTAAGATTAATTTGTTTTGATGTTATCGTTTTTTATCTTATGCATTGTGCTCTTGTGTGTTACATTAAAGAATATATATATATATATATATATATATATATATTTTATTTTTTTTTAATTTACTAAATTATTAACTAATGCATAATATGGTATACAAGCGTTCTTACTTTTAATAAAATTAAAAATTTAAATTATAAAAATATACATAATTAATTTACATAAAATAAAAAGTATGCACTACGGCAGAATGGAGACCTGAATGTGGTTCTATTTTAAATTAGAGAGCGTTTAGTACTGTTCTAAAATCTTACTATCTGATGTGTTATATTCAAGAGAGCGGTTAAACAACCACTCTCAAAATTAAGATTAGAGAGTGGTTCCATTTGTGTTATATTTAAGAGAGTGGTTAAACAACTGCTATCAAAAGTTAAGATTAGAAAGCGGTTACATGTAGAACGATTTTTTAAAGTATAAATGTAAGTTGCGAATCTGAAATTTGAAATTGGTTTTTTTTTTAGTTTTCTGCTGCAAAGTAAAATTAATTTATTATTACGTTTAAATCAAAATTTAGAATTAATTTTTTTGTGAGTTTTCTTCATTTTTATCAAAAATTAAAATTGAATCTTGAGTTTATACATTTGGTGTTAACCAAACAGTCCACATCTGCATGAACCAAACAGAAAAAATAATTAGTAGGATGATTTTTAATGTTAATAGAGGGGAAAAAGAAATAAAGAGATAATGGATGATTCACTATTAACAAAGAGAAGAAAAAAAAAGAGAAAAAAAAGTACATATAGATGTGAAAAAAACTAATTTGTTAGCACAAAAAAATATAAAAGAGCATACTAACAAAGATGAAAAGGTACTTACAAATATATATAAAAAAAAAACTAATTGTTAAAATAGAGAAGATAAAGAGAGCAAACTAATAGAGAATGATGAGATATCTACAAATGTGAAAAAAAATCAATTTGTTAGTGATAGAAGATGAAGAGAACAAGCTAACAAGAAAGATGAAGAGAACATAAGATAACAGAGAAGACAGATAGAACTTACAGTAAAAAAGACCAACTTTGTTAGCTAAAAAGAAAAAATGTGTTGAGCGTGTTTTATTTATAAATAACTTTAATGACTTTAGAGAGCAGTTCTTTATTAACCGCTCTACAAGAATAACTTTAGATAGCAGTTTTTTATTAATCGCTTAATATATGACTTTAGAGAACGGTTAATAGATAACCGATCTCAGAAGTATTAATACTTAACAAATAAAATTACAAATACTAATAATATTTAGTATTTTTTTAAAAATATAAAAAAGTGGACTAATATATTAAATATGGAGGAATGACTTGTGGTTGCATAAGCATAACATTGGCGAGGAGTTGTCAAAGGTGGGAGTCTCTTCTCCAATTGAATTTACCATTTGTTCAATTGGGGTTTTTACGTTTCCCATATCCATGGCTTAGCTATGTACGAATTCCCATATTAAGAACACCAAACCCCGTTTTCGTTTCTTCAGTTTCAGACTCAACCCATTCACTTGTCTTTGTGGGAGTATCACACGCTTTCTTCCCAAATAATATTTTTTTGGTTTAAACAAATTTTATGAAATTTTAATTTAAAAATTAGTTTGAATCGTTTTAGTTACTTATATCATTGTTAAGGATCGTAGCTACTAATTTTCTAAGAAAATAGAAATTAGAATCGATTAAAAAACTATATTTAAAATCTTACAAAATTCTTTAAGCTAAATTATCTTTTACTATATCTGACAATTAATTCACTCAGAGCTAGCTAACTTCTTTTGCCTTTATATGGAAATTAACTTTATGAAGATTTGTGAGTGCTTGTTTGTTTGTTTTTTTTTGTAAGAAACAATTGTAACTCGTTATACAAGTTTTCATCTATTTGAATTTTTAACAGGGGAAATATTTCCTTGATCGTTAACCCAAAAATCGCATAAAACTTTTAACACTGTTCATGTCTGTACACGTTCATATACCGTTCCATATATATTACGCAACAGTAGTTAATATCTTTTTCTTTTCCGTAGGATGCAAAGTGTCTAGTCCTCTTAAAAAAAAAGGTGATTTTATCTCCTTTTGACGTAAAACAAGGAGAACGAATTTAACCCCTCCAAGTTAAGAGAACTTGTGAAGTTAAAAAAAAGAGAGAGAATATATTTATCATTGATATTTAAATAACTATTTTATAAACAAATTATTATTTTATCTCTTTACACATTTCTTCGTTTACAGAACCAAATTGAAAGTCTCAAATCCGTGATTCACCGTTCATATATATAACCTTATCGAATACAAGACATAAATTTAACCATGTGGCTAGGTTTCAGATTGAAACTTTAAAATACCTTATTTTATTTCATAAATTAAAAGGGCATAGGAAATCATTATTTTTGTCGGGCACGCATGTTGTTAAACTTTACTTGAAAGCCGAAAGGTAATTATTTGCTACTCTCCAATGTGTTGCAGGCTTCAACTCTGTGATGATGCTCTAAATTTATATACCAATTGTAATCACAAATTCATCAGAGTCCTAGAGATTATTTTATTTTAAGTACATAAATCTTAATTATATCTACTTTTGAGTTTTTATAAATTTAAATTGTAATGTACTTCTAGATAAATCAAGTAAAAATACACTTGTAATTTCACATTCTAAGGATAAATTCATTTCTTTTGCCTGAGGTTTGACTTGGTCATGGAGGGCACCCAACAGAATTGATCCTTAAGCTAAGACTGTACGGCAAACGTAAAATTGGAGAAAGAAATCCAACCCATACCTTTTTCTGTAACCTCACAAATGGTGTTACTGTTTGTTTTTTTTTTTTTTTTCAGTTTAACTTGCTTTCCTAGTTTTTTATTTTTTTATTTTTTTTCTCAAAAGCTGCTATGATTTATCCAAATACATTGATCTAATTATTGGCATGATGCCACTGACCAAGAATTTTTATTTTTTTTAAAAAACGGACATTAAGGAATTTAACAGTGTCAGAATACTCAGAACTTGGGTCACGTTATTGTTTTTAAGCCTAATTAAAGCCAAAGCGTGATGTTGGAGGTTGCTTTGCAGTGTCTGAAGCATGTTAGTTTAATTTTTGAAGCTTAATTACGATTAATATTTGGAACATTTTTAATCAGCCCTGACTTAAGGCAGTGTCCCTTAAACAAAGCATTTAATTTGCTGTCATTTTCAATAAAGAATCAAATTTCGGAGGAATCCCCAGATATGTCGACGATTTCCTAACAATTTTGTTGAATCGTATTCTTTGATTTAAGAGTTTCAGAACCTCAGATTCTTAACATCTTACAAGGTTTTTGTGATTTTTAAATTTTAGATTTGATAACTGCAGGGTGTGACGTTTCAGATATTTAACCACATCTTAACTAGTGGACTAAAATTTTTAAGGGTCCTATTAATCAGTTGTACATCAATTTGAAATATATTGATAATTAAGAGAAGAAGAGTATATATTGTTATATTATTTAATAAAAATGTTTTTTTAATTATTTAACCACATTTTTATAAAACCAGTTCATATTTACTAATGTTTAGGGCTTTTTTATTTAAATAATGTTTTTTTAAAAACAATTTCTTAAAATAGGTATATTTTAAAACTAATTTCCTGTCTAGTACTTTTTTTTGCCAACTCAGCAGCAGTATCGCACATGCATAAACGATAGTAAATTTTTATTATTATTTTAATAGAGTATCGTTCCAATATTACCGATACTAAACTAAAAATTTACTATCGTTTATGCATGTGCGATACTGCTGCTGAGTTGGCAAAAAAAAGTACTAGACAAGAAATTAGTTTTAAAATATACCTATTTTAAGAAATTATTTTTAAAAAAGTATTATTTAAATAAAAAAGCCAATGTTTAGGGCTACTTCATGATTATTTCTCATAATACAGAGTAAAAAAAACGATTTGATTTATCATTAATTGTAATTTTTTTAAATAACTGTGCGTTATATGTTTTGCTCATTTTTGTAAATTTTTTAACTGGAATAAACAAAAAATTAATATTAAAAGTGATTCTCAATTCAGTCTTTACTTAGTTATGTATACAAATCATCCTGTAAGAGTTATAAAAACTAATGATTTGTTGAAAAAGCTAACAAAGAATTTATAAATACAAAACTAACTCATACCTAAATAACTTTAACTTTTTTTAGATTTTGTTTAGATCAATGTATTTTTAATTAATTCTTTAATAATTTCATCAAATTAACTTAATTAAGTTTTGAGACATGAATTGTGAATGTATAAATTCAGTTGCTTACAATGCACTTCGTTCCGTTTTTTTCTTTTTTATTTTCTAATCCCCCTACTCTTCACCTATATATATATATATATATATATATATATATATATCTTTTATACGAATTATTAAAGAATATAAATTTTTCAAAATAATATATTCATTCCAAAAGCGAAGAGAAGTTGTGGAGTAGGACAGGCAATTTGGGTGGAAGGCCTTAAGCAATAGAAATCGATTATCATTCACATATTTAAAAAAAAAACAGTTAAAAAATATAGTTTTGTTCCACTCGTTTGAATCTATTCCAGTCAAAAACCCATCTTCAAGTTTTCACACAGTGCTTCTAGTCGGGTGGACAATCAATCTCTCTCTCTGTCTCTCTCCCCTTCTTTCTCTCTCCATGTTTCGAAAATTTCCCTGTCTAGGTTCTCACCATCTGTCACTTTCGGAGTTTTCTTTTCTTTACAGAACAAGCAAACTGAACATTAACCCACTGATACAGCAGCTATTCCCACTACTACAAGATAAGAGTAATACTTATACTAATACTACTATTTTAACATATTCAACACCACACACTATTGCTATTCCTATTCCCATATCACCAACAACAAGAAGAATGAAGAATAACACAAGTGAAATTAATAGAGGGAGAGATAAAGGGAAACAACCCGTTACTATAAACCAGGTTAAATAAAACCAAAAAACAAAATTTTGAGAGTGTGAATAGAAAAAGGTTGGCACTTGGCAGCTGAAACATGAGGAGCTCAATAAAAGCCATGTAGAAGAAGAAGAAGAATAGAGTGAGATAATAAAGGAACGGTGGTGGTAGTGGTTGATAAAGCTAAGGAATTTTTAGTTTTGCTAATGTCTCAAGATTCTGAGGAGATAAAGACCATTGAGCAGTGGAGATGGTCTGAAATGCAAGGACTTGAGCTTGTGTCTTCTTCTGACTCACATAAATCCAACCCAACAACATTGGAAGAGGGAGAAGAACCAAAGGAAATGGAGGAGGAAGAGGTGGTTTCAGTGCCCAAGAAAGATAGTGGTGGTGTTTCTAATGGGGCTTCTAGTGGTGGCAGTGGTAGTGGGGAGAAGGGTGTGAGTGTTCCTTCTGTTGGGTTTATTGAGCTTTTCAGATTTGCTGATGGGTTGGATTACATTCTCATGGCAATTGGAACGGTTGGAGCAATAGTACATGGATGTTCCTTGCCACTGTTTCTTCGGTTCTTTGCTGATCTTGTGAATTCCTTCGGTTCCAATGCAAATAATTTGGATAAGATGACCCAGGAAGTGGTGAAGGTAAGAAACTCACAGCATAGTTCAAAGTTTGATGTTTTTGGTGATTGTGTAGCGTGTTGGATGTGAGTGTGTTGTTTCGTTTGCAGTATGCATTTTACTTCCTGGTCGTGGGTGCTGCCATATGGGCATCTTCATGGGCAGGTATGTTTTTTTTTTCCCCCTAAGTTTGGAATTTTTTTGTTTGTTTTTGCAATTTTTGAGGTTGTGAATGTGAAAAGGTACTTTGGTTTTGTTGCAGAGATTTCGTGTTGGATGTGGACAGGTGAGCGCCAATCAACGAGGATGAGGATCGGGTATCTTGAAGCAGCGTTGGACCAAGACATTCAATTCTTTGACACAGAGGTTCGAACATCCGATGTTGTTTTTGCCATTAACACTGATGCTGTCATGGTACAAGATGCAATTAGCGAGAAGGTGAAGCACAAAAGCATAAGCAAATTCAATCGTTTTTGTTTTGTTTTTTAATTGAATTAGATTAGAGTAGCGTTTAATATGATTACTGTTTTGTGGTTGCTTTGTGTGCAGTTGGGTAATTTCATTCACTACATGGCTACATTTGTTTCTGGGTTTGTTGTGGGTTTCACTGCTGTTTGGCAATTAGCACTGGTTACCCTTGCTGTAGTTCCTATGATAGCTGTAATTGGAGCCATTCACACCACAACTTTGGCCAAACTATCTAGCAAAAGCCAGGAAGCTCTTTCTGAAGCTGGCAACATTGTGGAACAGGTAAGACATAAGAGACCACAAATAAACAAATAAGTAAATTTTGTGATCATTTTCTTTATGTCTTTTTTTTTTTCATCTGGCTGTTGTTCATATTGAGCCAAATTTGCAGACTGTTGTCCAAATTCGAGTGGTGTTGGCATTTGTTGGGGAGACCAGGGCACTAGAGGCCTATTCCTCAGCATTGAGGATTGCCCAAAAGATTGGTTACAGAAGTGGATTTGCAAAGGGAATGGGATTGGGTGCCACTTACTTTGTTGTTTTCTGTTGCTATGCTCTTTTGCTTTGGTATGGAGGCTATCTGGTTAGGCACCAATACACCAATGGAGGGCTTGCCATTGCCACCATGTTTTCTGTTATGATTGGTGGATTGTGAGTACTGTATTTGCTGCACTTTCATGTTGTAGTAAGCTTTATTAGTGACTATATTGTTTAACCTTAGTGATTAAGTATTTCATCCACACAGGGCTTTAGGCCAGTCTGCACCCAGCATGGCTGCTTTTACAAAGGCAAGAGTTGCTGCTGCTAAAATTTTCCGTGTGATTGATCACAAACCGAGTATAGACAGAAAGACTGAAACAGGTTTGGAGTTAGAGACTGTGACAGGACTAGTAGAGCTGAAAAATGTGGACTTTGCATACCCCTCAAGGCCAGAGGTTCGGATCCTTAACAACTTCTCCTTGAATGTGCCTGCTGGCAAGACCATGGCTTTGGTGGGAAGCAGTGGCTCAGGCAAGAGCACAATTGTGTCCCTCATTGAGAGATTCTATGACCCTTCGTCAGGTAAACTATGAATTCATTCTACGTCTTTGAAAGTTAGATTAGATAATCAACTTGTTTATTGAGAGTTTGAGATTAAAGTGTGGTGTTAATGACCATGTGGTTTGTGTTGTGTAACCATGTGTTTTTGCAGGACAAGTGTTGCTTGATGGGCATGATGTTAAGACATTGAAGCTTAGGTGGTTGAGACAGCAGATAGGACTAGTGAGTCAAGAGCCTGCTTTATTTGCTACCACAATTGGAGAAAATATACTTTTAGGTAGGCCTGATGCAGCCAAGGTTGAGATAGAAGAAGCTGCCAGAGTAGCTAATGCTGATTCTTTTATCATCAAACTTCCCGAAGGTTATGAAACTCAGGTCAGTCAACTTAGACTAATGTTGTTTTTGTGATAAAGGGTCCAGTGAAAATGCATATTTGTGATGGTGCTTGATCATCAACCACCGCAATGGCCTTGTAAAATCAATCACATCCTTTCACATCATCTGGATTCTGGATTTAATCGTGACTTCTTTCCATCATTGCTAGCTACTCCGTTTATATATATATATATATATATGAAAATATGCATGGTGTGTCCCATAATCATTACAATAGGCAACAATCCATTCATAGAAAGAGGATAATGTCTTTGGATTTTATGGCAGTTGCGCTAAGAGAGGAGTAAAGCCTTATCGTTGTAAAACGTGAACCCCAAGTATACGGATCTTGACTTCAGCATGTATTAATGTGTAAAATAAAATATATGTTAAATAGATAAACTGGTAAGCAGAATTAGACATAATGTTTTCAAAAAAATAAAATAAAAGAAGAAATAGACTTGATGTATCACATAATTATTACAGTAGGTAACGTAACATTATATAGAAAGACTAATTTCTTTACAGTAGATAATGTCTAATTTATTTATGGAACTTATCATTGTAAAATGTGAAGCCCAGGCATACGGATCTTGACCAGGTTTCATGTTTGGTTGGACAATTTAGGAATCTATAATTGCAACCTCTCATACATTTAAGTCAAGACTGATTTATTTGGTCAACAAGCAAAGCACACTATTATTTTAATTGATTTTTTTAAAGTCAAAGCTACAAAGTGATTGGTCATACAATGCATTTGAAAACGACCCAGAGGGTAACATGCTTCGGTCAACAATGCATGTGCTGGAATCATATTATTAATTAAACGACTCTGAATTGATATCTTTTATTAATTAAAGACTAAAACTGTTAAGCTAGAGATGCCCAGAACAGAGCAACAAAAAATGAATATTGACATTAAACTCATTGTGTTAAAACAGAGAAAAATACTTTGCGTTGAACTCTAAACTCGATGTGTATTATATACGATAATATATAATTATGGACAGAAACTACTAATAGATTTAAAATAAAATCTTAGTCCTAGAATGACATCTCTGTTGTTACAAGACTCTTAGATAATAACGGTTATACTATTTGGTTAAAAATGCAAATTATTTGAAATTACAGGTAGGAGAGAGAGGGCTGCAACTTTCAGGAGGACAAAAGCAGAGAATTGCAATTGCAAGGGCAATGCTGAAAAACCCAGCAATTCTTCTCCTAGATGAGGCAACAAGTGCATTGGACTCTGAGTCAGAAAAGTTGGTTCAAGAAGCCCTTGATAGGTTCATGATTGGTAGAACAACTCTTGTCATTGCTCATCGCCTCTCCACTATTCGCAAAGCTGACCTTGTTGCTGTGCTTGAGAAAGGAATTGTTTCTGAAATTGGAACTCATGATGAGCTCTTTGCCAAAGGTGAAAATGGAGTCTATGCCAAGCTTATCAAGATGCAGGAGATGGCACATGAAACTTCTATGAGTAATGCCAGAAAGAGTAGTGCAAGGTAGCTTTCACCAATATTGAACATTGGCATTCTTTGAATTAGTCACTCATAAATAGATATTTTAAGTTGAGGATGTATTCATTTGCAGGCCTTCAAGTGCTAGAAACTCTGTAAGCTCACCCATAATTGCTCGGAATTCTTCTTATGGCCGATCACCATACTCACGGAGACTGTCTGACTTCTCTACGTCTGATTTTAGTCTGACCGTTGATGCATCACATCCAAATTACAAGCATGAAAAGCTTGCTTTCAAAGATCAAGCCAGTTCCTTCTGGCGACTCGCAAAAATGAACTCTCCTGAATGGCTTTATGCTTTAATTGGTTCTATAGGATCTGTTGTTTGTGGATCCCTTAGTGCATTCTTTGCTTATGTTCTTAGCGCTGTCCTCAGTGTCTATTACAATCCAAATCACAGACACATGATTCGAGAAATTGAAAAATACTGCTACTTGTTGATTGGGCTTTCATCAACTGCACTTCTCTTCAATACATTGCAGCACTTCTTCTGGGATATTGTTGGTGAAAATCTCACAAAACGTGTAAGGGAGAAAATGTTGACTGCAGTGCTTAAAAATGAAATGGCATGGTTTGATCAGGAGGAAAATGAGAGTGCTAGGATTGCAGCAAGGCTATCTCTTGATGCCAACAATGTGAGATCAGCCATTGGAGATCGGATTTCAGTTATTGTGCAGAACACTGCACTTATGCTAGTTGCCTGCACTGCTGGGTTTGTATTGCAATGGCGCCTTGCCCTTGTTCTTGTGGCTGTCTTCCCTGTTGTTGTTGCAGCCACTGTTTTGCAGGTTTGCTTTTTCACATCTTTTTCTGGCAAGCTTAGTAATCCAATTTTGTATTAGCCATTTATTCGTTCCATTAAATTTTGAACAGAAAATGTTCATGACTGGTTTCTCTGGTGATCTGGAAGCTGCTCATGCCAAGGCCACACAACTAGCTGGAGAGGCTATAGCCAATGTAAGGACCGTTGCTGCCTTTAATTCAGAAAAGAAAATTGTTGGCCTTTTCACCTCCAATCTCGAAACTCCACTGCGGCGCTGCTTTTGGAAAGGACAAATTTCTGGAAGTGGATATGGGATAGCTCAGTTTGCACTCTATGCATCATATGCACTTGGTCTTTGGTATGCTTCTTGGCTTGTGAAGCATGGTATATCTGATTTCTCTAAAACAATCCGAGTTTTTATGGTACTTATGGTTTCTGCCAATGGTGCTGCTGAAACCTTAACCCTGGCTCCTGACTTCATCAAGGGTGGTCGAGCAATGAGGTCAGTCTTTGATCTCCTTGACCGGAGAACTGAGATTGAGCCAGATGATCTAGATGCTACCCCTATCCCTGATCGGATTCGAGGTGAAGTAGAACTTAAGCACATTGACTTCTCTTATCCCACTAGACCAGATATGCCAGTTTTTCGTGACCTTTGTCTTCGAGCCAGGGCAGGTAAAACTCTTGCCCTTGTTGGGCCTAGTGGCTGTGGTAAGAGCTCAGTCATTGCACTTATACAAAGGTTCTATGATCCAACATCCGGCCGGGTCATGATTGATGGAAAGGACATAAGGAAATACAATCTCAAGTCCCTTAGAAGACACATTGCTGTGGTACCTCAGGAACCATGCCTGTTTGCTACTACTATTTATGAAAACATTGCATATGGGCATGACTCAGCTACTGAAGCTGAGATTAGAGAGGCTGCAACTCTTGCCAATGCTCACAAGTTCATATCTTCTCTGCCAGATGGATACAAGACATTTGTTGGCGAGAGAGGGGTTCAACTATCTGGAGGGCAAAAGCAAAGAATAGCAATTGCCAGAGCTTTTGCGAGGAAGGCAGAAGTTATGCTTCTTGATGAGGCAACAAGTGCACTTGATACTGAATCTGAGAGGTCTGTTCAGGAGGCCTTAGACCGTGCCTGCTCGGGAAAAACTACTATCATTGTTGCACACAGACTATCAACTATCAGGAATGCCAATCTCATTGCAGTTATTGATGATGGGAAAGTAGCAGAACAAGGCTCCCATTCACAGTTGTTGAAAAATCACTCTGATGGGATGTATGCACGCATGATTCAATTACAAAGGTTGACAAATAATGAAGCCATTGTTGGGATGCCCTCAGGTTCAAGTACTTCAGCAAGACCCAAAGATAATGAAAGAGAAGGCTAGCAACTAACTATTCAAAAGAAAGAAAAAAAAAAGGTATATGTCATGTGCCAATTATAATTATTGGCATTTTTGTTTTGACCATAGTATAGTTTGTGTATCTTCCCTCATCTCCTCCCATTTAAGAATGTTATCTTCTTGTCTTTATGAATCTTACTAAGGAAGAATACAGGAATGAGATTGAAACAGATAATAGATGTCCATCTTTATGAATTTATAAGGCCTTTTTTTTGCATCTTTCTCCCCTTTGCTCTAAAGCATCAACTGTAATGAACACTGTCATTAGACCCTCGTCTGTTATCGTGGATGGTTCAATATCTGGTAGGTAGTCTCTGCCTCAAAAGGATTCGGATGATTATTAACTAACATGATGCAAAAGATTTAATTTTGGTGATCAGCACCTCATATAATTATATATTGTTATGTCATTAAGTGTTCACTTTTTAAATAATAGTTATTTGTTAAAGGCATTTCAAGTATAGAATGTAACTGGAGTAGCAAAAAAAGTGTTATTGTGGTAAGTTAGTAGTAGTACACCTAATAATATATAATGGCAAATATAAACTAGATATCTTGGCAAGAGGCGTTTAACTTATCATTTGTAACATACTCAATGTGTACTTAACATTTGTAACATTTATAATTATAGTCCAATGTTTTTAATAATATAGGGTTTAAATATTTTTTTAGTTTTCATATACATTTATTTTCAGTTTGAATCTTATATAATTTTTTTTTATTTTGCCTCTACAAAAAAATTATTTTTAAACTTATTTTTGTTGTTTGTTATGGTTATAAACACCATGAGATTCGCATCAAGTTTTTTTAGTGAAGGATAAGAATTGAATTAAAAAATATCATTAAGTATAGGTTTTTATACGTAATACTCATTTATAATTGGTCTTTACACTTACTTCAACAAATGGTATTAGAATTACACTAGACGATGAAAACTAAATTTGATATGGTTATAAAACGGAAATCAAATTAACTTTTTTTTTAATATAAAGAACGATTTAAAATAATTATAATATATAACAATAAAACAACATATTTTACCCAACAATGAAACAAGATTAGATTGATACAATGAATCAAAGAGTTTTATCCTGGAAAATATAAATGCGGGAGTTAAAGTGAACGACTAATTCACGAGTTTGCGAGGGCAATAGACATAAATGTAAAAAAAAAAAAAAAGGCTGTCTGCATGAATTTAGAAATTTTGACATCAAAATTAACTAACATGGCTGGCTATTAAATATTAATATTATGTCACTTTCTAACCCTGATGGGAGCAGTAATGAGGGTGGTGGCCTCACCTTGAACGCTGGCACTGTTGTCCCTAGACTATCTCATATACGTTGCAAAGAACTATTCATCCTATCACAGCAGTTATAAATCTTCTGGTCCTGAGATCTTAACTCGATGCTGCTGCATGTAGCTTGTAGGGAACGTGCATTATTGAGTTCAAATCACATGATTGCGGCACGAACGTGCATGACTTCAAGTCCTACAACAACCGAAAATCGAACAAGGATCTAAATGTGGGACGACTTTGTGGACAAGCGTGGGAGTGGGACATAATCCAAGGAAAAGATTATGAGAAAATGACAAATTAAAGGAGTGTGCTTTTCTTTTTTCTATGGCAAAATGACAAAATAACTTCTGCTTAAACTTGAAACTCCAAATTGAGACTACAATAAGTTAAAACAATTCTCACCGATTGGTTTATATGATGTGATTTCCCCATTTAATTTAAAATTATTAAATGTGATTAAGATGAGTATATAAATTGTATACTTTTATTAGAACTAAAAAGTATAAAAATTATTTTTGTAACTTATCGGCCATGGAGACCAAACACTGGTCACTGTGCCCCAAAGTAAAGGTATAAATAGCAACGCATGAGCTCATTGATGGAGATGACATGACACAAAGTAAGGTTAGAACTTTTAGTTCGTGCACACGAGCTTGATACATATGGCAAATTAACAACAAATATTTGGATATCAACATTTATTATGGCCCTCCATAACACGAGAATCAAGATCATGCATGTGTTTTCGCCAACAAAATTGGACAGTGTTATCAAATGGAGCATCCAATGAAAGTTGTCATTTTAGATTAACTTCTATTTCCTAGTGTTAGATACAAACCTCAATGCAGTTGAACTAGTCGAAGTACAACACTTGAGTTTTTAACCACTTAGGTGATTTTATTTTATATTTTTGGAGGGGAGGGTCCATACCATAATGGTGAAGTTTACATGCCTAGTTTTTTCCTTTTTCTTTTTCGGGAATGTGTACGTCTATATTAGTGTTTGATGCATTGCCTTATCATTGTCAAATTGGCACTCTATCTATATCCATACTTCAAGCTCGTTAAACCCAGGTTCGCCATGTTGGTTGTAACTTAGAAATTATAGATTTTGTTGTAATCCTAAACTTGAAGTGCAAAGTTATTTAATCTTTACAACCATTTTTTAAAACAAAAAGAATTAAGAGGAAGGAATGGCACCTAATTTCAAGATAAGAAAAGCTCCAAAAATACTTATAAAAACTTACATTCATCCCATTTTAAAGAGATAAGTGAGAGCCTAAATCCATGATATGTTGAATGGAAAAACTTTTGTCTTACTTCACTTACTAATTATTTGGGGTTAGGCTTTACAATTATTTGGACCTTGATTTTTTTACCGTAAAAAATATTTTGTAAGAAAAATTTATTTTAAAATTGGCATTTTTTTAGTTGCATCACTTTCAAAAAATTATTTTTGATTGAGTGTTTAAGGCATTATGAAATTAAATTTTTTAAGAGTATTTAAAAATCATTCTAAAAGATTAATTTTTAAAAAAATTAAATACTCTTCTGGAAAATTAATTTGGAAGTGATTTATGATTACTTTCAAAATTAAAATTATAAAAAGGTGTTAAATACATCCTAAAATTTAACTTCTAGAAGTGATAAAAAAAAAAGTTGTACGGGTGTGGTATGTTGTTATTCATTTTACATGGACCAAAAGGATATTTATTGTATATCTCAATGAACTATTATCACATTGGAAAGAAAGAACACGCATTATTTATAATTCAAAAAGATGAAGTTACTGTTGATTCAATCCCCTCTCTTATGATAAGTATTCAATTGTTTGAAGCAATGTAAAATCATCAATTATTTATTAAAGATGGATGACAACCATATGATATAAATCACATACACACCCTTAACGATGTCATAACTATTTTAACTTAAAATATTTAGAGTTTTTTTTATAACCAAAATATTAGTGTGAACTTCAATTTAGTCAGCCAATGTCAAATACTCATGTTCTTTGTTGAGGTAAAAAAATATTTAAAATATTTTTTTTAGGAAAGTTTCTCAGATAAAATTATGAAAAACTTAATTACTTCAAAATCTGAAGACTTTATTTGGAGAAGATACAAAGATATCCTACCATTTAGAATGAACTTGACAAAGAGAGAGATGCACATAGACGCTATTTATCATCAAAATGAAATAAATGTTAAAATATAAATACACACTGTTGTTGCATAATTTAATTTGTCTCTCATGTGAGATGACATCTTTAACTTTAAAAAAGTTCATTGCATAGTCAATAACTTTTATAGAAAATACAAATTATAAGTGATGGATGTTGTTAAAACATTATTAAAACTAATTTTTTGTTAAAATTAAAATTAGTACACATATATATATTTTTCCTAAACTAACTCTTGCAACAATTACAATTTACCCCCCATTGCTAAAAAAATATCATTATCTGATTTTGTAAAAGTTAACATTGATGCTTTTGTTAAGAAAAATCATGACACTAATTTAAGATTGATTTTTCATAACAACAATAGCCAATTTTTTATATAAATAAACTACTATGATCCATGATTCACTTTATTGAAAATAATAGTTACGTTTTTGAATTATTCAATAATTGAATTTATTTTTTTATAATTTTAAAAGTTTTAATATTTTATTATTATTATTATTATTATTGAGACGTAACTAAGGTTGTTAATTTATTTGTCAAAGCTTGCATTTATGAAAAAAAAAACCTTAGCAAACATGTTTTCCTCTAATATTTCTAACTTTCTAATCTTAATATAATGACATTTGTCTCAATAATAATAATAAAAAAAACCTTTTAATAAGTTAAAATATTAAATAAGTGCAGTAGAAACAGGTATAATAGAAGGACTCAAATTCTGAAAAATTGGAAGTCCGAGTGAGATGGATTATTTCAACATTATTCTTATTTTCACTTTTAGCGCCAAGTCTTAGAACCCTGAACTCCGTTGCACTAGCACTAGGGTTTTTGTTCGCTGCTGCGATTCCCTTGGAAGAAAATGGGAACCGGTTCGACGTTGGCCGGGAAGGAAGTCCCAATCATTGGAAGCGACGCCGTTCGCTGGATCGACCTCTCCGTTCCTTCTTCCTCCAACATTGCCGCCGTCGACGGCGGTGCCGCACCTCCCCCCACCGACGACCGCGCCTCCTGCTTCGTCATTGGAGATCCTCCTTCCTATCTCATCTGGTTCACTTCCTCTCTCTCTCTCTCTTTTCCTCACCAAATTTAAATTCCCCTTTCTCATTCCAAAATTTCACCGTTTCATTAACCGCAGGAGAATTCACAAAGCTCAGCCTCAAGCTCTCGAGTTGCTCGAGCTCGATGCTCTTAAAGAATTTCCTCGCGTGGGACTCAGATTCACTTTCCCCGAGGCGCTTTGCCCCTTCGCATTCATCTGCAAAAACGAGGTCATTTGTTCACCGCCTCTGGTTAAGGTTGTTGCGATTGTTCGCGTTCGTAACTCGTTTTTCGTTGTGTTTTTTCATGGATGCAGTTTTCTGGCGCTTCTAGATTCCCTTACTTGCTTTATGTGTTGACTGTTTCTGGCGTGGCTTACCTCTTGAGAATTCGAAATGTTTCTGCATATGCGTCTATCTCCATTTTTCCCGTGGACGAGCTTTTTGAGCTTAATGTGCGTGGTTATATTCCCAATCATGCGGCGATAACTGCCGTAACTGCAACCGCTGGGGGTCTTCTTGTTGGCACGAGTGATGGTTGTGTTTGCTGTTTCCAACTTGGTGTAGTTGATCCAAGTGCTCCTGGTATGGTTAACTTGTGAATGCGCTGTTGCTTATATGTTTTCTCTCTCTTTTCTTTTTGTTTACTTTTGTTGTAAGTCATAGTTGTATAATTTGTATCTCCTCTGGGAATTTGAGATTGCCTTCCAAGTGCTCCTCCAGACTGATATAAAGTTTGTAAAGTTGTTTTGTGTGATTTGACGGTGGACTAGAGAAGTAGGATGGATTTAGCTGTATAGCAACTTAAGCTCAGCTTTGACTACATTAATTTTTGTTTATTTTTATTTATTACTTTTCAATGGTTTATTATGAATTTGTTTTTTTCCACGAAGGTTTTGTGCATGAGCTGAGAGATGAGGCTGGAATCAGTCGCTTGTGGGGTTTAATATCACGGTATTTTTTATTTTTTTTTTAAATTCTAATAACCATGTTTAATATCTTCTCCGATCTACCAATCTGTTCTCTCGTTCTTGGATTTAACCTCCATCTGCGTTTTGAATGACAAGACATTCATTAAATATGTTTTCTAGGGGGAAAATGGTGGGTACTGTACAAGAGTTGGTAATTTTGGAGTTGCACGAGAAAAAGTTTTTGTTTGTGCTTCATTTGGATGGGACATTACGAATATGGGATCTTGCATCTCATAGCAGGGTCTTTAGTCATAACATGAGCATTTTGACAATGGCAGGTATTGTGTACCTCTCAAATTTAATTCCATAGTATATGCTTTTATATTTTTGTTATACTTGCTCCATTACCATGCAGGCCTCCATAAACATTAAAGAGGACTGTTAATCTTGATTTCTGAAGTGTTCATGTCTATGAGTGGGAGAAATGAGGAAGCTTGCCATTGGATTTTACATGGTGGTTTCAGGATTTCATGTTTAGGTTTATGAGAGTTAAAGAAATGGCATGCACTGCATGGTATTAGGTAATTAGGTTATTAGCAGATAATATGGGGAGTTCAGGGCCAAGCACTGGCTGGTTTGGATGTTAATCCAATGACTGCTGGGACTGGGAGGCCTTTTAGCGTATAGACTAGAAGTTCAACAGGTTTTTTGGACTGAATTTGGATAGATTATTGTGAAAATAGGCTTCTGGATAGAGTTTATACCAGTGAGGATATCATAGAAAATTTGGTATTCTTAGTTTACTATTTGTGTGTATTATCAAGGCAGATCGCTTATTCCTTCATTTCCTTTTAGTTTTCTTCTTGAATTCATTCTTTTAGAAAAAAGATAAACAAATAAAATTTCCTTTTCCTTTAACTTCCTTAGCAAAACTAATGAAAAATGTCCTTATAGGAGATTCCTTTAGTGCCATTAGTAATTTGTGGTCAATCGGTACTCATGTGCCCCATTTAATTGAAATATGAATATGATAGATTTCTCCATGGCCTCTTGATATTACTTAACCATTGTCAGTAATATTTTTAGTATATTATTGTGAAGATAACCATAATATACTTATTAAATCAAACAATTGATAGAAAAAGTGAATTATATTAATCTCTCTTGTTTTTGTTTCTTGATATATTATGTCCTTGTTCTTTTGTTTACTTGTACTCACAACTGTAGATGTGCTCTCACACTTCACTGTTTGTTCTTCAGGTGCTGCCTTTTTAAGATTATGGGTGGGTCAATCTCACCTCGATTCAAGTATAATTCCTTTGGCAATTTTGTACAGACACACATCGGTATGCAATCAAAGACTTCCGGATTTATAACTCATTTTCTAAATACAGAATACAAATATGCAATGTGATTCAGTGGCGGTGAACTAGTCTGAACTGGATTCTTCTCCAAAAAATATTCTTTTCCTTTTTTTAAAAATTAAATTCTAAAATATTTTTAAAATAAACAAAGGTTCGTATATGAGATGTATTCATGAATTGCTATAATTTAACAATTTATTATGATTTTATTTTTATAAAACTTGAAATATGTTCCTTTAAAGTTTTTCAGAACATATTTTTTCTTAATTTTGTATTACTTTTCTATTCAATATCATAGTGGTCAATCTCGGATAGTGGCGTAGAACAGCTGACCTAAAAAACGCTATACGGCATAGCGGATAGCGGAATGGCCGCTATTTTAGGCATTATAAATATACTCATATAAATTAAATTACACACATATATGTTGAAAAATATAAATTTAAGACCCAAGTTAAAAACATATGCAATATTAATGATTAAAAGTAAAAGTTTAAGAACATAATACATGTTAAAATGTCAATAACAAATAACAACAAAATATAATAACTGAATAAATTTTACTAATTAAATTTAAGTCTCTAATGCGTAGATGTTTAAAAATACTAAGTGTTCAATTCATATACAAATATTTCATCTCAAGATTTGTCATGTCTTCTTTATTTTCACTTTTATCACTACTTTTGTAAAGAACTTCCTCCTCTTCTTCAAAGTCTTCCTCATCACATTCTTCTTCTTCTTCTTGTACAATTTCTTTCCCTTTTCCTTTAGATTTAGAAGAAGAAGCAATTGTAGTTGTCTTGAATTTTGATCTAGCTTGTTGCCTAGTGTAGGTTAGAGGCTCACTAGTCCCAATTGCATTAGCAACAACTCCCCAAGTCAAGTTATCATCATCAAACACTAATTCATCTACAACATCTTCATCATCTTCAACTATTCCTTCTAGCAATCAATCATTACTATCATCAACATCCTTTATGGTAATAGGATCCGCCACATCATAACACTCAAAATGTTTATTAAGAGCTTGGTTATATTTAATGAAAACTAAGTCTTGCAACCTTTGATGCTTAAGTCTGCTTCTCTCTTTAGAATAGATCTATTTTATCATAAATAAATATATTAGTTTTGCACTTTTAATATAAAAACTTTAAATTGAAGTTACTTTACATTTACTTACGTGCTCAAAAGTACTCCAATTTCATTCACATCCAAATGAATTACAAATTAAACTCAACACTCTAATAACAATATTTTGTAAATGTGATGTACGTACTCCATAATTCTTCCACCATTTAGTTGCAAGTTATGCATCAACTTATGTTATATCTACATAATTACATTACAATAAAAAAATTAAACAAATCTCTTACCAAGAGCTATTGTAGCCCTTTGTCTTTTTGCTCCACTTAAACCAAAGAGACCTTCAGCTCTTCTATATGTTGACAATTGAACTATAGCATTGTCTACATCATCTTCACTTGTACATAGTCTCTCAATACATTTATACAAGCCCTCCACAACTTCAGGATCATTTTTAATTTGTTTATTGCTATAAAAAAAATTGAGGATTCAAATAATAATCTACAACATGTAATGGATGATGAAGTTGACACTCCCATCTTCTATCAATTATAGCAAAAATCTCCTTATATTTGTTTACATTTCTTTTGAATGCTTTCTTTAGCTCTATCAATTGCCTCATATATATAACCCATTGCAGGCTTTCTTTCATTATCTATAAGTCTCAGAACTTGCACAAGTGGCCCTATAGCCTTAAGACTAAAAACTGCATCATTCCAAAAAGAAGGCATAAGTACAGTGCTTGTTGCTTTTTTTTCCTTTTAGCTTCTTTGGCCGTTTTGGACTTTAACCACTCATTTGAAGTGGACATTTTTCTTAGGTTGTTTTTTTGATTGTGCAACCATTGTAATGTGAGGAATGTTGTGGCAAACTTTGTCACTCCATATCTAACCAATGTAGCTTTATTTGTGAATCTCCTCATAATGTTCAAAATCAATAAATGATTATAAATAAAACTTATAAGAGTAACTCCCTTTTGAATTATTCTCTTGAGTCTAGGTATTTTTCCAATGTCTTCTAATATCAAGTCAATACAGTGTGCAACGCATTTAGCTTGCAACAACTTACTTAAAATTAAATTGCATAGTCTAAATTTAAAAACTAATAAAATAATTAGAAAGTGGCATTAATAGAGTTAAGAATAATTCTTACTGGTTAACACATAATTACTTCCATTATCAGTAACTACTTGCACAACATTTTTTTTTCCAACCTCTTCAACAAAGTTATCCAAGAGCTCAAACAACTTTTCTTCGGTTTCCATATAAACAGATGCATCAATGCTCTTTACAAACATAGAACCAGTTGGATAATTTACTAAGAAATTGATCATTGTTCTTTTTTTTTTTATCCGTCCACGCATTTGACATAATTGAACATCAATATTTTTTTTTTCTTTTTTACGACTTTTCAACATTTTCTTTGTATACGCTAACTTTTTTTTAAGAAAAGGATTTGTACACTCATGATAAGTAGGAGGCTTTAGATGTGGACCATAGTTTGCAATAGCTTCAACCATTCATTTAAAACTTTTTGAGCGCACAACGTTGAAAGCAATTCCATTCCTACAAATGAATTGCTCTATGTATTGAATTGTTCTTACTCTTGCTTTCTTTACACAAGCATCATTTATACTTGTTTGTCTTTTTGTTTTTGCTAATTGGATGCTTGTTTATTGACTCTTTAACCACAATAAATCTAATGAGCCCTTGACATTTTTTCCTTTTTTGGTGACACTACAACCACTTACATAAACTGATGCAACACTTGAGATTGTATGTCTTTTTCCACTATGAATAGTTTGAATTTTTTGCACGTCTTCTTCCTCATCATCATCTTCATCGTGCTGAAGTAAATATGTCTATTTTAATTCTCTTCTTTTCATGAGTTGCTATTAGTATTTTTTTTATTTCTTTGGGAATCATTGGACACCTATCAACATCTCCCTTCACTCCCATCAGGTGTCTCTTTGCTTAGGTAATATCACTTATAGTTGTTTTTCCACAAAAGTCACAAGTATCAGACTTATTATTATTTATGTCTTTCAAACTATTCCATTGCCAACCTATATCCAAATTATTTCCTGAAGGCTTCATTAATGCACAAGATGAAATTGAAGCAGAGCTGGTTCCTTGTGACTGATTGGAAGGGGCAGCCATTACTTCTACTTTAATCTTTGAAATTTAGAACATAATATAATAGAAGAGTCAAAATAGAGAAGGATAAAAAACAGAAAAATATAGGAAAAAAACAATTTTTTAGTCACTGGAAAGTTCGCCAAAGTTGGAGAAGATGATCGGAAAGTATTTGAGTAATGTCGGAAGTTGTGCTGACCTTAAAGAAGATGACAAGAGATGAAAAAAATGACTCAAATTTGGGTCAACTTAGAGGCTCACTGTAGACGAAGAAGATGATTGAAATATGTCCTCCTTTGGTAGAAGACTCGTAGGAGATGAAAGCTACACTCTAGATGTAGAAAAACATAGATCAGAAGAGAGCTGAGTTGAGAGTTGTGGAGAGGTGACTTGAGGGAGGCTAGGGTTTTGTGTAAGGAAGAAGAAGATTCAAAAATAAAAGGGGGCGATGAAATTCCCAGACTACCCCCCCTTAAAAGGCCCCACCAATAACAAAGAAAGGGCAGAATCGAAAGTTCCAGGGCATAAAATAGCAGCTGCTCCAGCTGCTATTTTCGCAAGTTTCTGCCGTGATTTGCAGCGCTACTGCCGCTACTGTAAAACACAATGCTACATGGTCACTGTCGCGGGAAGGTGCCACTCTGCCGCAATCGCGGGCGTTATAGGCGCTATTGACTAATATGTTCAATATGTTATATAATATTAAAAAATATATTTAATTATGACTGGTAATAAATGTTGGGCCTTGAAGGAATAACATGAGAAAAAAATGGGAGTGACAAAAATGAGAATGTTAAATGGATGAGTGATTGCATAAGAAAGGATAAAATAAGAAATGATAGTAAACGAGAAATTATTGGAGTAGTACCTATAATGGAAAAAATAACTGAAAACCGTATAATATGGTTTGATTACGTTCAGAAAAGACCTTTGGAGGTACTAACGAGGAGAGTGAATGACATGAATTTTAGCATGGTAAAAAGGGGTGGAAAGAGATCCAAAAGAACCTTAGAGAAAGTTATTAAATGAGGTCTTTGACCAAGCTCAATGGCTCTGTGTGATCGATGTATCTGGTTTCACTTAGTTAGATAAGGTTTTGTTGTTGTATCACCGGTTTGACCCCAATTCCCAATACTTTGAAATGTCATTTCTCTCTATCTGCATTCCTTTATTTTGACTTGATACTTTGGGTTTTCATTTTTTACTGTTTTCTGTCACTCTATGGTTCTTTCATTTTCCTTTTTTTCTTCTTCTTCCCCATTGGATAGGGTTGAATCTGCTCTCTCTTGTTATAAATTTTGGCTGAAATGGAAAAATTGTAGTTCACAGTATAACCTGTTTCTGTCGTGGCTTGAGAAATCTGAGTTGTCCAATAAAGACAGTATTCTCCGTTGGAGCATTGGCTGTTTAGCTGATGTAAAAATTGATATTACACTTTAGATTGTCATTATTGTATAGCTTTGTTTTGTTACTGAGATTTTAGGCTTGATTATGAAGGATGAAAACTTGGAGATGATCTCTTTATATAGTATCCTGTATAATTTTGGGGACAGAATTGTTTTCTCTATGGAGCCTTCAGTGCAAAATATTCCCTTGGAGGAGGTAATCTGTTAGTTTTTTTCATTAAGCTAGGATTGAATGTGATTTTTTTCCTCTTGCTCCAGATGTGAGACTACTTTTATTTTGTCCAGGGACGATGCCTTGATGTTAAATTAACATTGGATAAGATGTGGATACTGAAGGATGATGAATTAGTATCACACATGTTTTCTACAAATACTGATGAGTATGCTACATTTTCAGTTCTTTCATACCTGGCTGTTCATTTGATCATCTTTTCCTAGTAGCTGTAGTTTAAAAAACCAGGCATTTGTATCTCTAATGGTTTTAGCATTTTACTACTCAATTGGTGGGAAGGCAGTTGGTTTAGAACTCTAATATAGCTAAACCTTTGTACTCACACCACATAATTTGCTTTTGAAAACAGTTGTCATCAATCCATTTGATTTACATGTAGCCATCATGTTAGTATTGTAAGTCAAATTTCTGAAAATTTGGATACTGATAGGCAACTAATCATATAGTTGCTAACTTATATTTGGATAAATTGTTGTGCACAAATTATGTTACACTCAATGCAGTATAAATCAATTTTGGGCTAATATGAAACTCATTTATGATTATATAATGATGGGGAAGTTATAATCCAATCTACTGTGAATTTTTAAAAAAAAAGGATCATCACCTAAAAAGTTATTCAATAGTTCTAAGATTAATTTTGTTTTACACTGGTGTCAGGGTAGAAGCATATTCTTATGCCTTACAGGAAGAATTTGTTGCTGATCAGCTATTTCAAAGTTCAGAACACCTTGCAGATGAAATTTTGCGGATCACACAATCAATATTTTCATCTTCAAAGGTATGGTCATATATAATTGTCATCTTTGAAGGTCTTGGAGGCTTTTTATTCCTTTGTTAGTGGTGAGAAAAATGGTTACTTCACAGTTCGCTGAATGCATCTACTCATTGGTTGCACTGTATTCATGTCATGTGTATATGCTCAAGTACATGTGTACTCAGTACTGTGCTTGCTAATTGCTAATGATGGTTTTGCATCAGGATGGTTACTTCCACTCTAAGAACGTAGTGGTGGTTTGCATCCAAACTCTCTGGGGGCATGTTAATGATATGCTTGAGAAGGAAATTGTAATTGCATACTCTTAATTTTCATGGTTTAAGATCTCTATCTGAATCAATTTAAGTTGTTAATTCCGTAGCATGTACACATATTGCACAAAAAGTGTTTGTCTATAAATGGTTGAGAAGCAAGTTATGCTTTTTTGCTGCTAAAAGTCCCTAAAAAATGGAAGATGAAATAATTGAAGTTTTGAACTACCTGTGCAGGACTAAAAATCTTTTGATTCAAGTGACTTGTAAATTGTTATCGTGCTGGGAATTCTTGTGTTTAAAGATATGACAATTTTTTATTAATGAAATACGAAGTTCATCGAGAGCAAGAGTATGACTCAGTTATTTCTTTTCTGCAGGATGATATTTTGCCTTTTGTATCTTCTATTTTCTTAAGAAGGCTGCTTCTTCCTGGGGTTCTTCATAGTGGTACTTTGTATGCAACTCTGGTTGAGTATAGCGGGCATTTGAGTGAATCTGAGTTACAAACATTAACTGCTGATGGACTGAAAAAGGAGATACTTTCAGTTATAGAACACGAGGTTATCATTATCATATTTATTACCTTTCCTTGAACCCCCCCCCCCCCCCCTCTTTCTCTTCCTAAATTTTTGTAGGGGTGAGCTGTGGTAAACTGATGAGATTGATAATGTGGTAGGTTGGATCTGAAAAAGTGTCTTTATTGCACTGCTGGAAATGCTTTTTCACCCGCTATTTCCATAATTGGTGCAAGAACAATACCTCATATGGTTTGCTTGTTGATACCTCTGCTGATGCTGTTGGTTTAATCAGAAAAAACACAGTTTCACTTTTCCGGTCTTTGGAAGATATTGAGCGGATTGTAGAGGGTAATAAATAATTATGGATATCTCTCACTTTTCCCTCTCAATAAATTTTTGTATTATTAAAATATATATGGCTCTTTTTAGATTAGTTCTAATTAACTTCCTCATTATAATCAGTGCTTTGTTTACCTATGCCTTTCTTAATATGGACTTTTCTTTATATTTTTTAGGTTCTTCAGATGAAGTTGGTGAGCTCACAGGCCTTGTGGATATATTTGATGATGATCTGGAATGTGAAATTCTCATTGAGGTGCTCAGATGTGTTATAAGTTTCAGCCAACAGTTGGGCAAAACTGCTTCTTCTATATTTTATGAATCTCTTTTAACTGCACCTGCGATCTCTTCTGAAGATATCATTTGCTATATTGTGAAGATTCTGGAAACTGGATATTGTTTGCCAGGTCCAGCACTCCAAACTTCTACATCTGGGGATCATATAATTCTTGAGAAGGAGGTAGCAGATCATAAAAGTTTGAGGAAACTTTCTGTTGATATATTTCTGTCGCTTCAAGGCTTGTACAAAAAGGCTTCTGCATGGGGCAAGATTCTAAATGTAATTGAGAGTTTCCTGAAATTTTTGGTTCCACAGAAAGTAATACAAAATTTTGACACTGAAATGTCATCAAACATAAATTCCTCCGTTATAGTCTATACTACTTATCAGATTGCAAAGGTTATGTTCGAATCTGCCTGGGATTTTCTTCTATTTTTAAGCTATTTGGTGGACATCAATGGTCAGGTGAGTTTATACTATGCGTGAGTATGCTCATAAGCATAGTTTTCTTATTGTAAGCATCAGTTAATTGAAATTATTGTCTCATTAGATAAGATAGCAACTGCAAACTCTCACTTGTAAGTTGCTTGTATTTGTTTTATTTTCTTTATTAAATAATAAATTAGTAATACCTGAAAGTGTAATGCTTGATGTACTCGAACGGAATTTGATGTTTTGTCAATTCTTGAGCTCCCAGCAAACTGATACACTAGAGAAATTGAATACATCAGAGTCACTTTGATTGTTTTTTTGTTGTATTGCTGCCTTTGCACTGTGTTGGTGAGTCAGTGGCATAACAATGACAATTTTTTTGGGTTTGTGCATGGATATGATGATTCACATATGTTAAATATTGTCTATTAGTTTCATATTTAAATAGGTTCCAAAGCTTCCAGTTGAGAGATGAAAGTTAGAAATTAGGCTACAATACATGTTAAAATGAATTGATTCTATTTTATTTCCAATCCTTAGAAATAATAACATTGAGAACCTGAGTGGCTATCCCTCCTGAAATAGTAGAATCTGAAATTTAAAATGTGACAGTTAAAATGTTTTTCAGACCCTGAATAGAATGTTTTTCAGACCCTGAATCGGCAATAAACTGAATTTATGTATCTACATATATATGGCTCCCATAGTTCATAGGAATCTGCTGAGTCTTGTCAACTCACCAAAACTAAGTAATTTGGTTGGTTTATTTTAGTTTCTTGGTTTATATCTTGGCTGTGAAGACCCATCAATTGTTTGAACCTCAAGCAAATGTTGTTAATGAGTCTGGCTTTGTGGATGGCCAGAATTTTAAGCTGATTGTAAGAATGTTCGAAAAAAATCATATATACATCTGGCTTAAAAATGCACATTAGTTTAAATTTTAAGAATTTATTATTTAAATGTTTTGATGCAAATCAAGGTTTTGCTAGCTGCTAAAAGTGGGATTTTTGTGGGATTAAATGTTCATAAAGAACAGAGTTTTTAAGTCGTACAACAAGTTTATACTTTTGTCTCAATTGTGGGGTTCAAAGATTGTATTCTAAAAGTACTTGGTCAGCCTTGATCAAGTACCTTGTTGACATATTTTTTGTTGAACGAGTTTTTAAAGCATTCAGTAGGTTGTATTTGTCAGCAAAATGCTGTTACTTTTTTGTGAACGCAGATTAATATGTTTTTAATATAGTATTTTTTTTTTCATGCAGGTCCACTTGTCACATGATGATATAACCAAAATACAGCTTGAGTTAGTTCCAATGCTTCAAGAAATTATTTTTGAATGGTTAATCATCTTCTTCTTTACCATCACACCAGCTGCACCAGCTGTAACTGAGGACTTCAATTCAAAACTTTCATCATTACAAATAGGTGGGTTGTGTGGTGTGCGTACTTTGTTTTATTACTGCACATGCAAGTTTACTAAGTTTGACATGGATTTATCATTATAAGGGGATAAAGCCTCACATGATCATTACCCTTCTCAAAATCAAAAGAAACTAGTGAATTTCCTGTGCATTACTCAATGTTTTTGAATTTAATTAAAATGTTAGGAAAACATGAGATAAAAATGTCATCATTGCTAAACATTGGTGGAATCACGTACCTTAAGAAATAAGAAAATGCAATAGATTTTTTTATATTCAATGGATTCTCTTTTATTGAATAGGAACATGTTAAAGTGAGAGTCTTTCCAAATTTAGGAGGAAATCATGGAAATAAATTATTTGTATTGAGGCATATCATGTCAATGTCTACTAATTTAGTGCAGAGTGTCAATTTTAAATGCAATGTCAAATTGGGATTGACTAAATTTAAACAATAATATTTGAGAGCAAGAAAAAATAATAGAAATAAAATGTGAAATACTTGGTGCAGGAGAAGCCATGTGAGCCTTGTTAAGGGAGAAAATAGATTCTAAAAATCCTCTTGTTCAAGAATTAGTAATTTATAATAAAACAGTGTTTAGACATTGAATAATTTCTTTTGCTCCCCATAGAAATGCTTTTGTTGTACTTGTACCAATATTATATATTTTTCCATATTTTGGGGTGGAAACATGCTCAAATGAGTGAGATTTTTTTTGTATGTATATATATAATTGTAAATAAACTGTACAACTTCTATGCTGAATTGCAAAAACAACTGTTCAACACCAAATTTGTTGACTGTTAGAAATTCCAAATATCAGTACTTAGTTGCAGTAAAGCATGAACAGTTTGTTAATTAGAGAGGATAGAAGGACAGGGACCTAGCTTAAATTGTTGGAGGAGTAGGGCGTAAGCTTTGTTAGCAATGGGTAAACAGGGTAGTGGCTCATTTGTAAGGGAAAACCTTTGGAGGAGAGATCTTTCTCCTCCTTCTGTTGATTCAGTCAAGTGATAAATTAACTTTGTTCTTTTCTTTTTTTCCATTGTGAGTTTCTTATATTTACATATGAGGCTTCCTGAATTGAATACGTATAAGCCATACCATTGATATTATGTTAACCTTTTTGGTCAAGATACAGATAACAACATGGGGAAACAATTGTGGAATGAGAAGCTTGGCAGATGGGACTTCACATTGGCTTTTATATTCTTGCTCAATGTTGGAAGTTCATCTATGGACCATAACAACTTCTCTTCAGAACGTTTTTCAAATGTGCAGAGCTTCATTAATAGGACAAGAGATTTCATCAGTTGGATCATTTGGGGCCAGGCTGGGGGATCTTCTACTTTCTTGATCCGTTCTGTTGATCTTGCATTTATCCTTTTCAAGCATGGCCAGTATGGTGCTGCTGAGGTTATTTACTTGTCTTTTTTTCCCTGAATGGGACTTTGGTCCCTTCTCTTTCTTTACTCTGTTGTTATCTTTACTAAAAATATCCTATATTTACAAATGTTTCAAAAGCAATTGCTTATGATGGCGGAAGCACATTTACTAAAGGAGAAGACATCCCAAAGTATTCAAGATGCTGATGGTGGATGGTGCATACGTCATCATCTTCTAGGATGTTGCCTACTTGCGCAGGTGCAGTGCGGATTACATACAATCCAGAAGGATAAGAAAGTTTCTGATGCCATTCGCTGTTTCTTTAGGTATACCTATTCACCTTTCAAATATTTCTCTTTCTAATATTTGCATTGTGTGGATTCATAATTCAAGGATGCAACGTTTGTTTGGCATTTCATCCTCTAACTTGATTACTGAGATAAGTAATTGTTTAATTCCACTTAATTGAGGTTTTGACCTTGAGCTTCATTTTGAGAATGAAAAAGTCTAAATGGAAGCCATCTTACTCAAGGCAGTCAAAATTGAGATCCTACCTAAAATTTGGAGAAGGGGGGGACATAAATTGTGTGATCATAGCACGGATCATATAATCTTACCTATAATGCATAATTATATGTACACATGGATGTGTGCGTGTAAGAACATATAAGAGGAAAATAACCTAGAATCACTACTAACATTTAATTTAACGTAAATTGAAAAAGCATAAGAAGTTGCACCCAACTCACAAGTCCAACTCACAAGTCACAATTAAGTCTATCCCCTAGCTACCACCTGTAACAGTTGCAACACCATTCCCTTAGCACTGCCTCTGCTTGAAGACAATTTTAATACAGCAAAAAAATCTGAGTAGTCCATTCTAAACCCACACACAACAGTAAGTCAAAGAGGGAAGGGGGGAGGTAATCAGCACCACACTCAAGTCAGCTGATGTAAACCACCTACCACCCAGAAGTAGATGAACCACCATCCACTAACCAGCCAATGTAAAAACAGCTCCCAGACACCAAGGATATCATGAGATAGCAGATTGAAGCAACCTAGGAACCAACATCTTGTGTGACAGGTTTGAGTGCTCTAGCTAGTCAAAATGGCAGAAGACAAAATAGAGCTTTTCAAGAGTCTTAAAATTTGGGTGGGGGCTCAGTCCCCTTTGGGATTTTAACTTTTAAAAGCAGGCATTGTCCAACCTCACCAATCCTATACCTAAACACAATAACACTTGATCTCACTTGATAATGTTTTGGGGTGTAACCTGGATTGCTGGGGATGGCAAAAATTGTAGAATTGTGCAATCTCACGAGTAGTATGATTGCAATTTTAACTATCTCGATATTGTTTATATTATGTGCTTGCTATTACAGAAATTGCAGAATACTATATCTCAAGTGTTCCAGAAATTGCTGAAACAGATTAACTGCATATAACTTGTTACCTAAAGCAATAATAGCACAGATGTCAGTTGATATAGACTAATAGAGGATAGTGAGGAATAAAGTTTTCAAATTTGGGAGATGATTGGAAAGAGAATTTTGGGAGATCAGAATAGTGTCTTAAGTAATTTGATCAATTGTCAACTTGGAAATCTCATACAGTACAGTCTTCATGTGTGTGTTTGTATGGGTCTCTCTCTCTTACACACACCCATAAAGTTTTCAAATTACATGTTTTATGTGCTCTGCATATTTGCTTGTGAATGCCTTGAAGAATGATTGTATATGACACGCATCACTATTGGTGTTTAATTCAGGTCTTCATCTGGAAATGGTGCATCTGAGGCTCTGCAGAGTTTATCTGCCGATGTAGGAATTCCATATCTTGGCTTTAGTGAGTATTTCTGTGGCTAAATTCCAATTATCTAAGCAAACAAATAATCTTAGGTGTTATTTGCATTTTAACTTTTGCGCTTTTTTACGTAGGTGGTTGTGCATCAATTGCTGCATGGAAGCTTCAATACTATCAATGGGCAATGCAGTTATTTGAACGTTATAGCATTAGCGAAGGTGCCTGCCAGTTTGCTCTTGCTGCACTAGAGCAAGTTGACGAGGCTCTATGTATGAAAGATGAGAAGTGCATGAACAGCTTGGATAATGAATCAGTGACAACCATCAAGGGACGACTGTGGGCAAATGTTTTCATATTTGCGTTAGACCTTGGTCGATACTATGATGCGTATTGTGCTATAATTTCAAATCCAGATGAGGAGAGCAAGTACATCTGCTTGAGGCGTTTCATAATTGTTCTTTATGAACAAGGAGCTATAAAGGTCAGATAAACTGTGATGAACTCTTCTGACCTTCCTTTATTAATTGGTCTCTACCTTTGTTATCCTTAAATTGATATAAAAATAGACAAAATAGATATGAAACTATGCATTTTTTAATGACATTTTCAGGCTACTGCCCTCTAAGATTGACTTCAAGAATATTAATTAGTAATAACTTGAAGTCGATTAGATGATTGAAGTGGGTATTTGAGTAAAAGTACACAAGTATAACCCTCCTACCTCATTTTGCAGACATGTAATTTGTAAATATGTGTAAGTCTATGCATATAAGGTTGCTATTTTGTGTAAATCATGTTTTGGTATATTTCCAATTTTCGAGTTTGTAATGTAGATTGGATAAACCTATTTTAGGATTTGATTTTCTAATTTGGGATTTTTAGTGTGTTAAAGAATAGTGCATGTCAGTAATTTTCCAATTTACAACTTCTATAATTGCAACCTTGTGTGCTTTCTACTTTGTTATATTTAGTAATTTGGGATTATTTTAGATTTAGTTTATTAATTTAAGATTTTGTTTAGATTTATTATATTTTTATTTTGGGCCTCCTTTATGTAAGGTTTTATTTTCCCTATGAATAGGCTCTCCTTCTAAACAGTTGGCAAGCTTTGAATAATAGTTGAATTATATTCTTGTTTTATGTGTGAGTCAGGGAGTATCTTCCCTACAGGAGTACTTTAGGTTTATTCAGGGGATTACCTTGTCAAAGGGAACACCTTTGAGATTACAATTCTATATCAATCTGTTATGGTTCCTATACTTTTCTAGTTAAAAACTAGTATGATGTTCCTCACATAACATGCAGAGTTACATGTTAGTATTTAATACATTTTGCATGTGTTAAAGGATAGTGAAAGTAATTTCCCAGAAGAAATTTTATACTTTTCCATTCACATATTTTAATTAGTGTTTCCCCTCCTCACCTTTACTGTTCTTGTTCTTCACAGATTCTCTGCAGTAATAAACTTCCCCTTATCGGTTTAGCGGAAAAAGTAGAGCAAGAGCTTGCTTGGAAGGTATGCCCTTGCTGAACAAATTGAATGCTGTTAATTTTAGTTTTCTTCATTGTGTATAATTTCTGCTATATAATATGTAGGCTGAACGATCTGATATTTCTGCGAAGCCAAACTTGTATAAGTTGCTTTATGCATTTCAATTACACCAGCATAACTGGCGCCGAGCAGCAAACTACATATACATGTATTCAGCTCGTTTGAGAACTGAAGCGGCTTTGAAAGATAGCCAAGGCAGTTCCTTGATGTTGCAAGAGAGGCTGAATGCACTTTCTGCTGCTGTCAATGCACTGCATCTTGTTCATCCTGCATATGCCTGGATTGATTCATTGGCTGAGGGAAATTCTCTTATGAATGAACAATATCCAAGTAAGAAAGCTAAAAGAACCCCAGACGAACATAGTAAGTAATTCAACAACAAAAGTAATGCTGCTAGTTTTGAGCTTATCATTTCATTATGAATTTATGATGGTTATACCAACATATTTACTTCAAATTTTTAACAGAATGAAATGTGCAAGGGCAAAAAGGATTCTTATATATTTCTATATGTTGGATATTATGTTTTTCACATCTGTACTAATATATGGTCTTTTTAGAAGGGTCTCCCTTGCAGATGTGTTGGGAGATTGACTAGCTTTGTCTCATTGATGATTTCTTTGTTCTCATTTGTTTTATTTTACTTTTTTATTTTTTAGCATGATCTTTCCGCCTAATTCTTTGTAATCATCTTTGTCTTGATGAATTTCTTCTTTTATCATTAGAAAAATTGTATTAATTTCTTTTAGAGTTGTGATGACACTATATTTTAACTTTGCAGCACCAGGTGATAATGGTGCTGAGCCTCAAGACTGGCAGTCCTCTATTGATATTGAAAAACTTGAGAATGAGTTTGTGCTAACTTCAGCAGAGTATATGCTGTCACTTGTAAATGTCAAGTGGACATTTTCTGGTAAGTCTCTTTTCTTTTCAATTGTCTGTGAAACATATGGCTGCTTCCAGGGTGACTGATGATATTAAGTTTCAATATAGATTTTTTTCTTCATTGGATAAAATTTTGAACCTTTGTTGTCCCTTTTTTTTCCATTTTAAAGGAAAACATGGAGCTCTATCAGATTTGGCTGAACTGCTCGTCCAAAATAATTTGTATGATATGGCCTTTACAATCCTTCTCAGATTTTTCAAGGGTTCTGGACTGAAGAGGTTTACTTTCTGCACTTAACTTGTGCATATGCACACACACACACACACACATATATGTATGTATTCTTGTGCTTATATGCTTGGTCTTTCTCTGCAGGGAACTGGAAAGAATTTTTTCTGCTATCTCATTGAATTGCTGTCTAGATAAAGTGGAATCCACTTGGGTTGAGTACGTTGACATATTCTTACCTTCTTGTTGAAGAACTTTTTATTGTGAATTGTTAAAATACGATACCCGACTTAGCTTGTCAGTCATTCTGATGGCTTTAAAATTTGTGCTTTTATCATTGTTTATTTACTAATTTGGCACTTTATTTTCAATTTTTTTCTAGGCTGTTCTTGTCAGTACTTACGAGTTTTATCATGCTTTTGTGATTTCAGGGAACATGGTCATTTATTAACATCATCAAAGCTTGAGATGGTAATCCATGGCTCACCTGTTACAGTTCCCACAAATCCACGACCTGACAGATATAGTCGTTGGGCAACTCTTAAGCTTTACCTTGTTAGTATCTTCTGCTAGTTATAATATGTTAGCCCTTAGTTGATTTTAGCCTATGAATCAGTCAGTCTAGAAGAGAGGAGGGGTTAATGATTTGAGAAGTTTTCTTGCTGAACACCCACATACTCAATTTTTATTTTTGGTTTTGTTTTCTACTTTAGTGGTTTTATTATCTGGTATACTCGGTACCTGATATTACATTACGTGAATAATCATATAGATTGGTTGTTAATCAAATTGGATATAAGCCAGGTTGCCCTAGAGATATTTTTTTACCTTAAAGCTAAATGTGTAAATAATTAGATTAATGCATTTAGTTCTCATGGTAGATTACCGGTTATTGACATAAGTAGCTTTTGTTTGCATTTTGTATCCCTGGTTCACCCATTCTTGAAATTACTCCTAAATTGCAGGAGAAGTATAAGGAGTTTCATGGTAGATTACCGGTTATTGTTGCTGAAACTCTTCTACGCTCAGATCCTAAAATTGAATTGCCTCTTTGGCTTGTTCAAATGTTCAAGGTAATTTTCTAGGATGAAAACTGCAATTGCTGATGTGAATGACTGTTTTAAAATTAGTTTTGGTAGCATTTCTGAAATACTAGTTCTTTACCTTTAAAAAGTTCTACTTTTTAGAATTTTGCAGTTACTGTATGGTACATGATGATCTTCGTTATTCCAGACTACTATAAAATCAGTCACACTCACCTTGAAGTCACTCTATCTCCCTTTGGTTGATGTCTCTCCATTAGAAATAGGTGTGGAAATGGAGCAAATCAAGCCAGGCTTTACTCTAAATGGGGCCTGACCTATTTCCTAAATGCAAGGCCCAAAGTTTGATTTATTTACATGATATAGTTTTTTTCCCTTTATGGTAGGCCTATCTTGGCCCTTATAAAAGTTTTGTCTGACTCGAAAGCTTATTTAAAAGTTTACTCTTTGACAAGACCTTTTTAGGGACCTACCTCTGATAGGCTAAGGAGCCCAAGCTTTTATGTCCCAAACCTAAGACTAATGTGGTGACACATGTAACATAGGAGAACTAAATTGAGAATTTTCTCATACTACTACTACTAAATAGGCCAGTCTTTTAGACTTTAAAGGCTCTGTGAATTGTTTAATCCTTTTAACTAAGTAGACTTTTAAAATATACATCAATAGGCCAGTTCTTTAGATCTAAAAGGTTTTGTGAATAGTTAATCTTTTTAACTGTGGGCTTATTAAAAATTCTTGGGTAGCTTATTTAACAAACAGATATTATTCAGATCAGGCCTAATCCTGGCCAGGTTGCAGGCCCCTGATAGGCCACCTGACCTACTCCTATTCCCATTCCCAATTAGAAGCTTGGAGGGTTGCCTGTAGCCAACTCTAACAATATGAGAGATACTTTTGCTATTATCGTGCAACCTTGGCTACTATAACATATGCTGTAGTACGGTCACTGATATTGTTTGTATGGCTTGTGACAGGAGGGTCAAAAGGAAAGGATGTGGGGGATGACTGGCAGGGAATCAAATCCAGCATCTTTATTTCAGCTTTATGTTAGCTATGATCGATATGCAGAAGCTACTTATCTTTTGCTTGAGTGCATAGAGTCATTTGCTTCAATGGTATTTTTTTTACTCTTACTATGATCAACTTGATGCTTTGTACGTTCAGGTTGGAACATGAGTGTGCCTTTCTGCCACCTTGTAATATATTTTACACAACATAGTGTTTTTGTTTCGTCATGGAAATTGATAATATTCATTAAATTGAAATTTGTTTTACAGAATTCTGTTTACCCAACAAATGACCTTTTTGTACTCGTCCAAATCTTTCTATCATCTCCTCAAGAGGCACTATTCCAATATATTTTTGTATACAGTCATTTCTTATTTTGTTTTTCTTGTGTGACTAACATCCATTTTAACATTCTCATTTCTGCAATTGTTACTTTTTTCTCATATTGTTGCTTTAAAGCTTAACGTATACTATCATAGAGGAAAGTTAGTTGTATATTAGTGTAATAAAACTTATCTTTAAGCTTAGATATTATTGTAGGTGCTGAAAATTTTGGTTGGAGTGTGGTATCTGAGTAACTGTAGTGCTGAAAATTTGGTGTGGTTTTATGCAAAGTTATCAATCCCAAATAGCGGTGCCTAGCAGATAACCTTCAAAATGCTATAGTGGGATGGCATATAATGGGATGACTGTTATTTAATTTTTTTTATATGAATATACAATATATACATAATTATGTATTTAATGCTCAAAATATTAATAAATAAAGCATATGAATAATTATTTACAAAAACATAGGTCTTAAGCAAAATATACAAATAAATAAATGATGCCATTGCTAGCTGTCCACTGTTGCTTAGAAGACACAACAACGAACATAACAGAGGCAACATTGCAGAATCAAAGAATAGAGAGAAGAAAGGAAGTGGATTTTGATGAAGTTGTCATATATGGGTGGCTCTGCAGGATTGGAGATAGTTGTGAAGCAGAACAGAGACAGAGATGAGAGTAGGGAGCATCGAACTGAGGAGAGAAGAAAAACATGGGGTTAGGTCATGTATCTCCAGTTGTGGAGCAAAACAGTGACAGAAATGAGAGTAGTGCTGAACAGAGAAGGGGAGAAGAAAAACATGGGGTTTGGTCATGTATTCTGAAAGCTGGGAAGAAGACTGTTTTACCCTTAAAAAAAACCTCAAAACAGTGTCATCTTAAGGGAAAAAAGGGAAAGTTAGCTTATTTTTGAACGGTGAGAATTCTTTTTTACCCTTAAAAACCCTAAAAATTGAGTGTAGAAAAGGCAAGCTGGCATTTTTCACTGTACCAGCACTATTGTGCCCGAAAGGCTGGGACAGCAAAATGGTCTGCTATGCTAGATCTGTGGCAGTTGAAGGTTTCTCCGCCACACACCACTGTTTTTGTGTGCTATTGATAACTGTGGTTTTAGGTTGTTAAAGACTTAAAAGTTACTGGCTTGTTAGGTGGTTTAAGATTTATGATAGTAGTTTTTTGGGTTGATTGTGTTTCAGGGAGAGGGAGATTGAGTCTGTGGTGCATTCTGTGACCATTAGCAAATTGTGGCTATCAATGTTGGTGTTCAACCTGGTTCTTTCCTTTCTTCTATGTGCAGCCAAGGGTTTTGTGGGCTTGCAATTAGTGTGTTGCAGGATAATCTTCCCTCCTATGTGTGGCCCAGGGTGCAATGGGTAGGAAGTTGTCAAACTTGAGAGTTTATATAAACTCATGGAGGGTTTGTAGACTTGCCTCGTAAACTCACAAGAGTTTTCCTAGTATTAAAAAGATATTAAAAAAGCCTAATCATAGTATGCAAACAACTTAAAATACCATAAAATAGTTGAAGTCCAACATTCCTACTTCATAATAAAGCACACCATGTATTATCACAATTCAGTTACAGCAGGATAACACAACAGGCAATGAAATCATGTTAACAAATTCTTAATTTTCAAGGTCAACTAATATTGCAAGGACTAAGTTCAGAGTATGAACTTCAGATGGAAAAAAAAGAGGATCAAATGGGAATGGGATGTGTGCAATACCCATAGCAAGTGAGCAACTAACTGAACTAGAGGCCAGAGTTAATTGGTACACCTTCAATTTCAGCCCAAACTGCCAAAGGCTAGTAACCAAGCTGGGAAGGTGTGGTAGTCACAGAGCAACTGGTCCAATCATTGGCTCATTGCAGATTTCAGATTGCACAACACAGATTGACTTTGGGGCAACCAAACTCTATTGTCAAAGGCATGCTAACGGTGCACAAATCAGTGAGAGCACAAAACCATGTTTTCCCAGATATTTGGAAGGAAGATGGAAGAATGTCATTCTGTGCTGTTTTGTCCATTTTTGGGTCTTTTTCCTGCAAAATTTGCTAACTTGCATAAAATTGTGAGTTTGATTGTGTTTAATTGATTCTTGCTTGGTTTAGCCAAGTTTGAGGAGCTTATGTCGGTTGGCACAATTTCTCAACTTAGACACAAACTTAAGGCGAGTTAAAGGGTTAACTCATGATTTTAACGACCACGATGGATGGTTTTTCTGGTCATTGCCAGCCAGTGAGGTGTGACCAAGGATGTACAGGTTTGGAACCATTGTCATCCTCGTTTTCTTCTTGACATTGGGTGGTACAGCGTCTGTGCTTCTCTATGCTGGGTTTAGAGTGCTGAGTTTCTTTTTGGTCATAGCTTTCTATTAAATTGGTTTGCAATTTCTTCTCTCCTATCATATTGGTATTTCATAATAGTCACATGTAGACAACTGGCAAATTTAGTGAATGATTCAGCAACAATGATATTTTGTCATTATTAGTAAGTTTTGCTAATATCAACGTTCTGCAGAGACCAGCAGATATAATTAGAAGGAAAAGACCATTTGCTGTTTGGTTCCCATACACAACAATTGAGCGACTTTTGTACCAACTTGAGGAACTAATCAGAATGGGTCACATGGTAGATCACTGTGACAAGCTCAAAAAGATGTTACATGGTTCTTTACAAAATCATCTGAAGATGGTAGGCATAATGTCTTTCTTTGTAGTCTAACTTCTGTTGCTTGGGACAAATGTTCATCTGTCTACTTGTTTCTTCTTTTCAGTTGAAGGTGGACTCCGATGATGCAATTTCTGTATCTTCTTAATTGCTACTTAACTGACCACTGGAGGTGGTAGATAACAGTGCTTTCACAGTGCTCTTAATTACTAGCTGTGCTAACAGGTTTGTCTTTTTGTTTATACCTCCCGTGGTTTCTTTTTTTTTTTTTTTTTGTTCCTCAATTATTGTTCCTTTGAGTAATGATTTCTCTGTTGAACAGCATAATATCTGGTGAAAAGGCCTGAACACGGAATGCTGAAATTTTGGGATGTAAAAGCCATGACAGTTGAGTTTTCCCCTTCTCTTACCAGCAGGGAACAGAGCAAATATGACCGAACGATGGCCAGTACCTAATGTTGTCAAGAATTGGAGACGTAGTCCTAATCGTGTCCATAAACACCCTTGTAAAATTTGTATATGCTGTCTACAGGAAATGTCAAGGAAAGGTTGATTGGCCGCCTTGTTTGATGTGGATGCTAAGGCTGGATTGACGCAATCACAGTTCAACTGATTGTAAGGAAATTCAGTAATGATTAGTGGATGAATATATGTTACCCGTTTTTGCCCACCAAAGGTTGACAAAAAAAGTGTTCTGGAGGAAATTCAATTCGAGAACGACATGATCTAGTTTTATGCCTTTTATTTGGGATCTAGTTTGAAAAAATTAATGGGCAACTCGACCAGGGATACAAAACCCAACTCGCTTACTAAATTGTAGCCAGTTCAAATGTGTCTTGGTCGCCTATATAATGCGTTGTAATGATATCCCATAAACCTTATTAAGGTTTTAGTGAGCTGTATGTAAGAACATGAGCATAGCAATTTCTTGAGCTTACAAACTAGAGATTTAGTTATAGTATAAATTTTGAATGTCTCACCCCCAAATTGTTATTTAGAAATTACTTGGTCATTCAATAGCATAAGTCTAGTACTAATGCAAGCCAGATATACGGTATTTTTGTATGGCAATGTACAATTGGAATAACAAGATTTGACCCTACTAATTCAATCGATGATCTATTAACTCAGTCCCTCATTGATTTAACAATGGATCATTGATCTATTGAGTTAATAGTCCAATTTGTTATGTATATAGTTTTGCTTATTTGCTACTGGATTTAGTGAGCACATGAATCACCAACAATTTGAAAAGTGATTTTGATGTGTCGACGAAAGATGATACGAGAGAGCTCTTTTTCAGTGCGATGAGTAACGTGGTGACATAGGATGAGTTTTGTGGTGAGTCGATTGTGAGAGATTCGTTTGGTTCAAAAAGGCTGTATAATTTTTTATCAGGAGGTGAAGTGTTCTTGCCCGGACTTGAATTTGAAATTACAAGTTAAACTAGGAACAATTTTTTGCCAGTTGATGACATTCGACTCACTACGTTTAACTGAACCGACTACCTAACCAAATCACTGGTCAAACTAGTCCATTCACACATTTTAAAAACTTATTATTGGAAAATCAATTAAAATTGTAATCGAAACAAATGGTACTGAATAATATTCTCACCGCTTTTACAAAACACATCTTAGAATATATTAATGCATTTTTTATTTAAAACACTAATTTCTGAGAATTGTTTTTCAGAATATAAATTAAAATCAATAAAGATAATATTGATAATAAAATAAGGTCGAATGATATTAAATAAAAATAAAATTGTTATAATATTTTAAAATTTTAAGAAAATTAACTATATTTAACTACTTTTAAGGAATCATATGATTTAAATAAAAAGATTCTATGTAATAGTTTATCATTAAAAGGTTATATTAATGGTTATTATTGTCGACTTTTCTAATAACGTAACCATAGATCTCATCACAATAAAACGTTTCTCCTCAACATTTCACATTAAACAAACTAGAGGGAGGAACTAAACAAAAAAATGGGTTGAAAAAATTGAGATAATATTGCTTATGTTGTAATGTAACAACTAGCTCTATATGTTATAACACCACCTTTTAAGACAATCTTCCCACTAACTACCAAAACATGATTACATAGACATTAGCTTTGGTCCATTGTCTGGCATACCCATTCCTGCAGCTAACTCGGCATCAAGTTGCGTATGTGGCGCTGGACCCATCATTTGTTTTACACTGCACAAAGAAACAGTAATATCAGAAGCAATATTATTTCACTCCCATAAATAAAGTGGGATAGCTGCCAAGTGCCAGCGTGCTAGTAGTCCAATTGTTGTTGATTTAAGTTCTTCAACACCGTACTGTGTGATGTTGACATCATAGATTTGATCTTCTAACAGATTACCTTTCTCCCTCTCCTATCCTCTGCGCTGTTTGGTTCAAATGAAGGAAAGGAAGAAAGGGATTTTAATAGAGGGAAGGAGAGGAATTTTAATGAAGGGGAAAGTTACCTTATGTGGTTCATGACGAGAGAGCAGGTAAAAATGAATTTAAAATTATATACTTAGAATGGTTAAATATACATATTAAATTAAGGATAATTTTGTCTGATTAGTTTACAAATTTTTCCCCCCTCTAAGATGAAGTTGATGAGGAGGGATTTTGGACCCCTTTGCTCCCCTCCTTCTCCTTCCAAAATACTAAACTAAACATGAAAGAAATATAAAAATCTTTCACCTCTCCACTTCCCTCCAACCAAACACTATGTAAGGGTAATTCAATTCTTCAACAACCTAATACCAACATATAGGGGGCGAAAGGACACTAAACTATTCTCAAATACATGCATTTTTCATCTAGTCAAAGGGAAGCGCGACCAATACATTTTTTAAGCATAATACTATTGAGTGATAATTACCTTAATTGTCTTTTTCTTTTTTAATTATTGACCTAGTATGGGACATGTTTGAGAATAAAGAGCGTGCTGTTGATATCGTTCATCTTTTGTTAAATAGTGTTTGAATGTTTGCCTTGTTAACCTTGCAAATAAACAACTTTTCCACAAAACAGAGACACGTAATACAAATTCACAACTATCTAATATTAATATACTTTACGTGTGTATAATAAGTTGGAGAAAGCTCATTTTATGAAGGGAAAAAAATTGCAAAAGTGCAGCCTAAGTTAATATGTTAGGACAGAGGTAAGTAATTAACGAAGTCATTGAACTGAATCAACTGATAAGTGCTAACCACTTTCCATCCTTCATCTATACTGTGTATTCCAGCTTGGTCATTTCCCATTCTGTTAACAGAGCCTAGATAAATATGATAAACTTCAGCTAGATTTAAGCTCGAATTCATTCAATTATTATATTCCTGCTAAAAGATAAGATATGTTCCTTTCAGTTTTCACATATTGTCGCACATCCAAAAGCTCACACAGAAAACTTAAAAGACAGGAGTAGCCTCAAAAACTCAAAAGCAATTCAATAAATCTAATCAATCTTTATCAATACAAATACGATAGAATAAAAATATAAAGGGGCTAAAGAAAGAGAGGCAAAAGCACTGAAGCACTATACCGCCTCTTGTGTCGTTTGGTCTTAAAATGCTCATCCCTCACAGCTACATTGGAAAAGTATCGACTGCAATACCAAAAAAAGAAAAAAGAAAAAAACTCAAGTCAGATAAAAACAAAACCCAACCAACAAATAACAAAGATTAACAAAAAAGGGAGATGGAAACCAATACTTCACTACTTGAGAATCCTTAACAATAATCATAAAATGAAATAAGCAAAGTGAGAGTGAGAATTAAGGAACGATAGATAAATGGTTTTTCTCTCATGTTGCTCTAAATTCTCTACCTACACTTGGCATGGCAGTGTTCAAGTAACCCCCAAAACTTTTCAACCCCATATCATAGAATCATTAAATTTGCAAACTTTATTATATCAATAACAAAAGGCACAACATAATGAGCATGAATAATAAATTAGAAACAGACTCGCAATGAAGGCAATAGTACTGGCCCATCCCAGGCAAATCTTCATCAACAGGTAAAGGGTTTCTCTCTTCTTCAGCTTTATTTAGCTGCTCATAAACCATGTCATCACGTGTCCAATTCACAAGTCAAGAATCACATCCAAACAGATTCAAAAAGAGAAAGGGAAAAATATGTACCGTGTTTTAATTTTAAAAACAGAAAAATTTTTAAAAGAGAAATCAAACATGCTCATAGATTTGGAAAGAAAAAAAAAATGACAAAAAGGATATCTTTGATAAGGAATTTGGTACGGCGCTGTGTCTTGTGAGAATATCTTCTTTTCTTCACGTTTCTGTGAGGACATTTTCCCCCCATTCTTTGTGTTTCTGAATTGTTAGGGTTTTTTAGCTCTGGTTTCTCTTCCTCTGTGACTTGTAATTAGGGTTTTTCCTTTTCAAAGCGACGACGAAAGATGAAACGACGGCGCTTCAAATGTCTTTGCTAGAACAACACTATGCTTTTAGGTTAGTTTTTGTTTGTGGACCAAAAAACTGGGTCAGTTTTTAATTTGTCGATTTTTTGGGTCCAACTTTAGGCCTTGGATCAAACGTTTGGGCCAATAGGCCCAATTGTGCTAATTTAGAATCGAGCCATGATTCTAATTAATACACACACAGGTAAAAAAATTTTATCTATAGTCTTATACTTAACTTATCTCATTATTTTGATAATATTTTACAAAGTCATCATATTGGAATTTATTTTTATCTCTTTTTTCATTATATAAATTCTTATTTTATTTTCAAAAATATATTTTAATAAAGAATACGGGTAAAAGAAATATACAAGAAATATTGGTTATGGTGTTATGTAGGTTCTTTTTTTTAATGTATATATATAGTTCAAATCCTAATTAATACACACACAAGCCTTGTAACCAATTGATAATTAGGTAGGATATTTGATAATTAGAAGGCGGTGGAAATTTCTCCTAATATTAAATTATTTTATTTTCTGTTAAATGACTGTATAAATTTCTATGCTTAAAAAATTGTATTTAAAGCAATTTTATTCGTAAATCATGTTTCGTGCGCATGAAACTTTGTCACATTAGTCATTTATCACCCGTTCCAATCATCCATTAACGTCAATGGTTACACGTTATGAGTTACACGTTATGTTATACATGCAACTAACATTCACTTTACTTGTTCATTAAAAAACAAAAACAAAAAATCTCTTTTACTACCTTTACTCAACATAACTTAATTTTTTAAAATTAAACCTATAAAATTCAACGTATAAATAGAATTTTGTAATAAAAATGTTATTTTTTAACATGCAATACATATCAGAAAAATGAAAAAAAAATTCTCAGCGTCAAATAATTTCCTGTTACGCCAACAACGTATGCTACTTGTCTTGGTTCCTTGGGTTCTGAGGTGGTCCCTGTGCTCTGTTGTCACTTATACTTTAGTGCGAGGTAGGAAAGTTCCTAAATGGTGAAAGTGGGACACGAGTCACGTGTATCTTTTAACCCATACTCTTTAGTTTCGAATTTCACAACTAATGGCGGCGAGTGTAAGTGTAACCATGTCCATGCTAAGAGCCATTTGAGAGGACGAATCTTCCTAACACCACGCATGCACGAGACAAGATATTTGGTATAAACAGTGGTATATGTAATGTAACGTCTTCGTAAACCAACTCCAACGTAAGTTAAAGCTCCAATTTCACCCCTCAGGTCGAGGATGCTGTCTGTTGCCAAGTCATATCCTATTAATGTGCGTGACACTTTACTGTGTGTTTGCATCATCATTTATAACTTAATTTTGTATCATAAAAATTATTTTTAATTTAATTTAAAAATACAAATAATCATATCATAAAAATGTTAAATATGTTGACATAAATTTTAAGTTCTAACGCCTATCTAAACAATTACTGAATATAATTCTTAAAAATTTTAGAATAAAATCTTACAGTTAAAGTTAAAGGAATGTGTGATGTCACAATCATACGATAAATAGTGGTGGCAACTCGTAGGGTTTCGTGGAAGTATCATTTGGTCCGTTGCCATCAGGACACGTTCTATCATTGTTTCAAAGTGCAGGTTCTCGTAATCCACTCCCTTCTGTTATAGACAAATGACTTTCCACGTTTTTTTAATTAAGAAATTTCAATAATATATATTTTTATCATTTTTTAATTTAATTTTTATATTTTATTAATGTCAAAATAATTATCGTGTTAATTAATTAAAAAATATTTTAGATATAACTTATAATCAGTGTAAAAATCAATAACTTTTAACTTTATTATAATTTAGAATTATAGGATATATAGCGATATTTTTACACTATCATTATTTTATTTAAATTTTAATAATTTTTATATAGAATATAACAGCTGAATGTCAATGGTTTTCTAAAATACTTTCAAATATTTTAAAATAAATACTGCTGCATGATATCTAGGTTTAATTTAGGTTAAATTACATCATCCGTAGGTCTATGAAGTATTTAGTAAATTTTAAACAAGTTCATATACTTTAAAAAATTATAAACTTGTTCTTAATTTTTTTATAAAAAATTAACTGAGTCTCTCGCCATAGTTTTATTAGATTTCTGTTAAGTGTAGTTAGAAATCTAATTAATTTTAGTTTTTAAATATTTTAAAGATCAAATCATCATTTTACTCATTCAATAAATTCTTAAACTATTTAAAAATTTGTATTAAAAACTTATTTAATTTTCTTAAAACAGTTAGAATAATTTAATTTATAAAATATTATTATTTAACTATTTATTATAATTATTATCCTGTCTTATAAATACATAATTATTTTATGTTAATTTAAAACTGTAATTAACTTAATCTTTTTATTATTGTATATTAATTTATGGTTGAATATTTTATATTTTTAAAAATTTAGGTTATATTATTATCAAATGTCAATTAAATTAATTAACCGTAAACTAATCCTTTTGCCGTTTTAATAGTTAATTCAGTTTTACAAACAAGTAAAAAGGAAAATATCTTAAAGTTGGAGTCAAGAGTCATTGGTCACTATGTTTGAAAAGAATTAGCAATAATATTTATATATTAAAATAATATTTTTAAATAATTTTTATTTTACTATAGAATTTTTATTATATATTACGTTGCTTATGATCTAATTTTTAAAATTAAAACATGTTTTTGATTTATTAAGCTGCACTAACTTTTTTAATTTTAGTTCTTATATTTTTTAAAAATTTTAATCTTAATATTTAAAATTATCATTAATCTTTTTGCTATTAATTATTATTAATTTTAGTCCTTATTATTATATCGTAAAAAATAATACATAAAACGAAAAACTGCAAATGATAGCATCTGAGCTAATTATGTCAATATAAAAATAAAAAATTATAAAACTTTAAATTTTAAATTAAAATTTAATATATTTAAGAGATTAAAATATATTTACTTATTTTTATTTATCTATAAAAAATGGATGAGTATAATTGCTTTTGAATAGAATTGCGGCACGGAGATGGTAACGTCACCAATGTCGTAGGCCTGGCGGCTCTGCTCATAAAGTAAAATCTAAATCTCGTTTTCGTATCTGAACGTTCGCCTCGTCTCTTCTCCCTTCTCTACGGCACCATCATATAGTACCGTCCAATTTGGATTAAACTTTATTCAAGTAATTTTCATAGAAAAAATAAAAATTTATTTTTTATTTTTTACAAATTTATTTAAATTTTTAATTTATAAAAAATATTTATTTTTTTATTTTTTTTTATAAAAACTTCTCTAAAAATTTATTTAAATTGAACTCAAGGAAAATTCATTGATTCAAATACAGTTAATAAATATTATAAGTGACAAAATTTATCTAATTTATATGTATTTATTAACTTATTTATAAAAATATTTTAATTACATAAAAACATTATTATTTAAATTTATTTTCTAGTTTTTAAATAGTTTTTGAGTTTTGACATTATAAATTTAAAAAATAATCCTATTAACGGTAAATGTTACTACATTTAATAAGATTATTTATATATATATATATATATATATATAATATTTAAAAGTAATATATACTAAAATATTATATTTTGAAAATTACAAAAATTTAAAATTTAAAAATTATTGTTATTGATTTTTTAAGTAAATTTAGAAATAAAAGAATGAAAAAGTAATAAAATATCAAAAATATATCATCTATGATTTTTTTTAAAAATAAAAATCTCTGATAGTAATTTTTAAAATAATAATAAAATATTTCAAATAATCGTAATAATTTTTGCCCAAAGTTACTACGTACCGACAATTTTTTTTAAAATTTCCATATTTCTATAATTAAAAAAAATAGAGAAAAAAGCCACATTAACAACTATTATATATATATATATATAAAAAAAAACTAAACATACTTATACAAACTAAATTTATTTTTAAAATATTAAAATTTGAACCAATAAAATTATTGTTTAATAATCTCAAATAGAGTTTGTAAAAACATTGCCTTTTCTGGAGCAAGGTCAACGAAGCTAAGCCCATAAAAATATAGCATTAGGGATGAAATTATGAATCTTGCTCATGTTCAGGGCACCTTGGCAATTGGCATCAGCGAGGCCTATTAGCATCAACATTAATTCCAGAGTACAACTTGCGCACGCAATGACGCAATTAGTGGGCTCAGATTATAGTTATCATTCCGCAATTGCAACCGCGAAGGTGACAACTGAAAATTGACGTTCTTTTCTCATGCAATCGGCAATTGGCAATTGGCAATTGCTTCTTCCCAAAAGAGTTTATTTTCTTCCCTGTAAAGCCAAATTTGAACGACCCTGCCCAGCATTTTCAACTGCAATTTATGTAATAAGTGGTCCTTTCGCCTAAATCATTACGTTCCTCGTATACATGTTCTTCAAAATTTTGCAAACCGCCGTCAAATAAAAAACGCCATTCCAATTTTTCAACAATGCATGTTGTATCCACACAAAACAAGGATCGCTAGAGTATTCAAGTGGGGACCAAGAAAGAACGTAGCTACAGGGACAGTGCTGTGCTGCATTAAATATATTTCTGAAGGATCTGGAAAATACTTGATTAATCACACACAACATGGCTAGGTGCGAGCATGAGGAGTAACTAAAACCTCCAAATACTTGGTGCAACCAATCCACTGCGACTTTAATACCACTTAAATGATTTAATTTGAGATCTCATGTATAATGGTAGAACAAACTAATTAAGCTCTTCTTAGGTGAAAGATATATCTGCAATACACTCAACGTAAAACTACACGCACCATATCTTTGATCAAAACCTTAAAATATTAGGTTTATCAATAATTTATTATTATTTAATTCTCATTTAATTATACCTTTTCTTTTCAATAATAGACTTCAATTTTCAACTATATTCAAATCAATTTTTGACAAATTAAATACATTACATGTCTTGCAAAGTATTGGTCATGCTTGTATTTTTTTTTCCTGATGTTTCTGAGACTTAGGACTTTTGTTTTGTTCACGAATTATCAATTAATATGAATTCTTGAATGGGTAAAATTTTAGTTTTTTTAATTAACAAATATAATTTTACAAAGGATTGCAGGAGTACTTTAACCCTTAAAAGATGTTTGATACGTTGATTTTTTTTTTTTTCATTCTTAAGATTTATATTTCATACTGTTTTTTATTATGATTATTGAAATTGTTATATATATGTTTTGAAGTTTTATAAGAATGTGAAACAATCTTTCATGAATATATTTAAAAAATTTCCAATAATCTTATATTTTTACCCTTTCACGTGAATTGTTTTTTTTTTTAAGTATGATTATAAATTATTATTGTTTTTATAGTTTTTTTATTTGTCATATGTTTATCAATGCTTATTTATTTATTTATATTTAACTAAAATTTAAATTAATTTTTATTCATTAAAAATTCATCTATACTAATGAAAATGTTGATTTTATCATTTTGTAATATACTCCATTCATTTAAATCATAATAAATCAAAATCAAATTTCATTAAAAATGACAACCATTATTTGTTTTTTTATCTGTTACGTTGGAGTGCGAAATATATATATAGGAGAAATCTTACATTACATGTTGACATATTAAATATATAAATTAAAAGGACGAATACATATAGTATCTTAAAATTATAAGTTAGATGTAGAATTTGATTATTTTATTTACTTTCTTACTATCTATACTACATGTTTATAATATCTGTAACTATAATTTCCCACTCAAATTTTATAAACATGTATAGGACCAGTTTGCATGTTGAATACAATTCTATTTTAACATAATCGATAGTTGTTTTTGCAGAATTTTATATATATAATTAAAGATACCAATAATCACATATAACACACTTCGTAACATCTCAATATATTTCTATCGATATATGATTAAATAATTGCGTTAAACATATACTTAATAAAAATTCATGAATCATAAATAATTTTTGTTCTCAAATAAACGTATACTATTTTTTTCTTTAATGGGACAACAATTATATATATATATATATATATATATATATAAGTCTAATCAAATGAGAATAATAATTTCTTATTTGACACATAGAATAACTCAATTTATCACAAGTCATTCACACTAAAAGCCTAATCACAAAAGTGGGCATAGATACTGATGTAGGAAACAACAAAATTTAATATGCGCAATTAATTTAAGTGCAACAATAATATGCCCATCACAACATTTTCTTACTCACTATGATTCTGTCTAAGGGTCCTAGATCACACTAAATAAGAAAGACAAATACAATGTACAAAGCTTCATGTCACTGATAGGGTATCAGTACAAAAAATGACATAAGTAAAACATAACTGTGTGGTATTTTCAAATCACACTAATAACAACGATAGGATATAATTATTATTAATGTAATATATAATTATATAATTTACACAAGTCATGTATGGTCTCATGATAGGTAGGATGACATTTATACAGAATAATCATGTATTTAGAATTAATTTAAATATGTATATTATATATGAAATCATAATTATATTGCAATTAAATAAAATAAAAAAATTAAATTTAACATATATGACATTCAAAAGAAGAGTAAATAGCATAAACATTATGAAAATTGTCTAAAATATCAAAAATTTAATTCAAAGGGTTTAAAAAAAAAATTGGGTCCAAACAAGCCCCTAGAGCATTCTCCCGACGCTACACTCTTCTAGCCCCGTGAGTGGGCTTCGTGCACCCACATAAAACCCATCAGTTGCAAAACAGGTCCAACAACCTAGAAACTCGACCCGATTCAATCTTGCATTCTAGAGTACCAATTCATGTCATTCCAAAGACGTTCAGCCATATGGGTGTATTTTGAAAAAAAAAAAAAGAGTTTTAAAGACTAAAACCCTTGCAACCATGGAGGATTCAAAATGAGAATTTGAGCAATCATACAGTTTCTTTCAACGAGTAAGAGTTCACTACGTTCTTTGTGATGTATATAACAAAGGCTCTGTGGCTATTTGTTGAGAAAGGTTTTTAAGAGGGAATTGAATCAAAACAAAAATAGGGCAATGACGAATGCAAAAGGAAAAAAAGAATAAATTCTCAATCTAAATTAAACAAAATAATGAATTAATTATTAGGTTATATTTGTATTTAATTTATTAACAAAAGCCCTTAATCAATTTTCAAAAAAATAAAAAAACTTTGCCCCTTTGAGAGAATTTGAAAGAAATCAATTTTAGGGTTCATAATTTAAAAAAAAAAAAACTGCGAAATTCTCTTAACATACCTAACAAAAATTAACAATTTTTGGATATGATATTTATGAATATAAGATGAACAAAAGTCCTAAATTATTTTCCAAATCCATACATAAAATTATAGCGTTTTGGTTGCTCAAAGTTGAAAAATTAAGATGTGTATTAAGTTGGCTTTGATATCAATTGTAGAATTATATATATATATATATATATATATATATATATATAATTAATTAAAGATACCAATCATCATATATAACACACATAACATCTCAATATAATTTAAATAATATACGATTGAATGACTGTCTTAAACTCATCACGAGTCATTCAAATTAAGAGTCCAATCACAAAATTTATATAAATAATAATAATATACATATTTATTTTATGTCATAGTTAATAATAATATAATTATAATAATTTAATAATACTAATTCATAAATTAACATAAATTTTAATATTAATGTTAAAAATCTAATAGTTTTCTCTTCAAAAAAATATCTTGTAACATGTATAACTCTATTTTAGCTATATATATATATATATATATATATATATATATATATATATATATATATATATAAACAGGTTCGTAAAATTGTTACATAATTAAACATCTCATTCTATAAGATTTATAAATTTTTTTTTTTGGTTAACTGTATTATTGTTAGTCTCTTAAAATATATTAAAATTATATTTTAGCATGTATAAATATATTTTTATTTTAGTTTTATATTTTAAAAATTATTTAATTAATCCCTTGCTGGTGTGCCTTTATAAAAAAATGACACATGTCATATAAAATTTAACAGTGTTAATATTGAAGTTTTTCACATCCAACAATGTGCAATTATTAAAATTAATAACTTTTTAAAATATAAAAACTAAAAATAAAGAGGACTGTGGACAATATATATATATAAGAATAGTATAGTATTTATTAACAATTATAAAAATATAATGAAAATATATATAATTTAAAATTAAAAAATAATAAGATTCACATGATTTTTATGATTTTTAATATATTTTAATTTATAACTTAAAAGTGTGTTAGAGAGCATATTATTATAATTTTTGTTATTAAATATTGTATTAAAATTACGTTAGAAAAGTTATATAATGATATAACAGTTACTTGATATCAATTTCATCTATCTAATATTTATTGTATAAAATAATATTTGGAAAAAAAAATTATTTTTAAAAATTATTTTACATGATTTTATTAAATTAAAAAATAATATAAAATATTAAAGTATAATTATTATTGGTATCTTTGTCTATTTATTATTATTTTTTATTTTAAATTATTTTATGCAAGAGATACATTTAAAATTTTTTTATCTTATTATATTTATGAAATACATATACATAATGAAGTCTATATTATATGTGTACCAGAAAAAAAAAAGTTTGCATTATTTAATTATTTCACAATAAACTTATTCTTTAATTATTAGCAGTGATAATTATATTGTAAATGAATTACTATGTGTCCGAGAAAACTTGATATAATTAGTAGTTATCATCCTGCAGTCAAGTGTTTAGAATTGTTTATCAATTTTAAATTTAGTAATATTTTTAATAATTATTTTATTGCTCAAAATAAAAAGTTATAGATAATAATTTTTTATTAAAAATAAATTTAATATAATTTAATGCATTAATAGTATTAATTACTATAATTTTTTTTGTAAAATTTATCACGTACAATTTTTTTATTTTATGAAATGTTATACAGTTAAAAAATCACATTTTTAAAATACTCTCTATTAGGACATGGATTTTTTTTTGAAATATTGATTATAAACTACTCATTAACATTTATTATATATAAAGTCCACATATTAAGAATTTATTTTAAAAAATTAAAATAATGAATAAATTATATTTAATATTTCTTAGTATATATTGTATTCACGCATTAAAAATAATAATATATTTATTATTCTTTTAAAATCATCAATTACTGTATAAAAGTAAAAAAAAGAGAAGTAAAGTATTATTATTATTATATAATTTACATAAAAAAATATATCCCACCTTTGAATACTAAATATACGATATTGGTGTAAAGTTTTGTCAAACAAAATAACGCATGGTATACGGGAAAGTTTTCGTAATTCTGAATTAAGTGGGTAATGGGTTTGGTAAGTGAGAGTGCAGTCAAAATTTGATGATGAGTCAAGCGTCACCATGCAGTCTTTTCTCGATCCGAGCAAGTCCTACTCGGCGGCAAAACCAGAAAAACTTCAATACACACATGTCACTATTAATCAAATTATTTATCTCCTACTCAAAACAAATAACATTCAAAAATCAATTTCCATGGCCTCAGACATCATCCCCTCCCTCATACCCCATCATTATCCCTATGCATACACATACATAACACATGCCCCCAACCCATTGCCCCACCCACCTCTCTCTTTATATATAATCCTCTCCCTTCCTTCTCTTTCCACTCTTCAAACAAACCAGAAAAATCCTATCTTAGCTATCGCAATATTATTTAACTTATTCAATTACCCCAACCCCAAATGGGAGAGGTTAGTTCTTATTTCATCTATTCATTCCTTTTCGGTAGTATTAGTATATTCCACATTCCTCTAATTCCTTTTTCGTCTAATTAACCACTAACTCATCACGCGTTTCTAATTCTCGTGTCTTTTATTCATACTCAGCAAAAGGAGCAGCCAAAGAATGAAACCGAGAAGAAGCCCGACGAGGCAGCACCCAAGAAAGACGACGGACCTGCCCCCGTCGTTTACAAATTCGACTTGCATTGCGAAGGATGCGTCAAGAAGATCAAGCGAACCGTTCGCCACTTCGAAGGTAAAATCAACCATCATATTCTCCATTCTGTTAATGTTATTCTCCTTCATTTGCATTAATTTTATCAATTCGTATGCATATTTGAAATTGTGAAAATACTGACAAATTGAGGATATGCAGGCGTGGAAACAGTTAAGGCAGATCTATCTGCTAACAAAGTGACAGTTACCGGAAAAATGGACGCCGTCAAGCTTCGAGATAAGTTGGCCGAGAAAACCAAGAAGAATGTTCAGATAATCTCTCCTCAGCCAAAGAAAGATGCCGATGCCGGCGAAAAACCGCCGGAGAAAAAGGCCGACGAGAAGAAGGCCGACGAGAAAAAGCCCGTAGAGGATAAACCTAAAGAGGTATAGCTATAAACTTAATTTTTGCTTAGTTAACGTGTCCTTCCTTGAATAATTGAATTTATTAAGCTTAATTTCACTAACCGACTTTCTATTAATTTATTCTTGCTTCGGTACAGAGCACGGTGGTTTTGAAGATCCGATTACACTGTGACGGTTGCATTGCGAAAATTCGAAGAATCATCCAAAGGTTCAAAGGTGAGAGAGTTGACCTATGACCTAAATCTAAATCACATGATTTATTTTTAAATTAAACACTTGATAATTTAATTTAAATAATTAATAATTGAACTCCCGAACGGTTAATTCAGTGGCTGACGATGACGGTGCTGTTGTTGTTCTTCCACAGGTGTTGAGTCGGTGAACGTTGACGGAAGCAAGGACTTGGTGACGGTTAAAGGAACGATGGACGTGAAGGAGCTGGTGCCGTACCTGAACGAGAAACTGAAGCGAAACGTGGAGGTGGTTCCTCCGAAAAAAGACGACGAGAAGAAAGAGAAAGACGGTGGTGGCGATAAGAAAGAGAAAGACGGTGGAGGCGATAAGAAAGAGAAGGAGGAAGGCGGTGAAAAGAAAGAGGAGAGTGCGGCGGCGAAGGTGGATGTTAACAAAATGGCGTACATGTACTCGATGCCACCTCCGTCGTACTTTTACGATGGACACTTTCCCGGTCAAACGAGTTACGCTATGCCAATGGAGGTTCATCCTCACCAACAAGGGTACGCTAATCATTACGTGGACCCAGGGTATGCGAATCAGGGTTATCCTGTACAGCCACCTCTACCGTACTACATGCACCCTCACGCCCCTCCTCCGCAGATGTTCAGCGATGAGAATCCGAACGGTTGTACCGTGATGTGATTGGCGGGTTGGGGAATTTGAGAAAGTGTGGTGTGTATGGGTTACGGTGTACACTTGCGCACTGTCGGAGCGAGCAACGCGCATGCTGTAATTTGTAAATAAAAATGGAAAATTGATGTGCGTGTAAATTGATGAGAGAGTGGGTTCCGTGTTGTTCAAAATCAATATAGAGAAATCTTATCGTATGGTAGAATTTTGATTTAGTATATGTTATTGGATATGTCTATAGGTTGGTGTTTTAGAGAATAGAGATAGGGGATGGCCGGCTGGCTGGAGAATCCTGCCCCGAGATTAGAACAATTACTTACATGATCAGTTGTTCTTTGTTTTGTTTATTTTTTTATGTATCAGTATAAAATATTTCAATAAAATTTACAGATCTTATCATAGTTTTGTTCATGGTGCTGAGCCCATGTGAAAAGGGATTGGTTATACTTATTTGTCTCTTGTGAGAGATTTTTTTTGGTTTATGTTTTTCCTTTTGGGTTCATATGGCGGAGAATTTTTATTTGTGGGTTTGTTAACCAAGCAATTCTGTTGCTTTTCTTTCTTTCTTTCTTTTTCAAATCACATGCATTTGGATTTGGTGTGAGCGTTGACAACGTCCTCCTAACAGAAAAATATTCGACTTTTAATAATTCAAAATTAAATTGAGATTGCTGCCGTTCAAAGTAAAGTGAAGTGAATTCACCAGAAGAATTTACGTCCCAAGTACAGAGATATTATGGCCCTACATAAATTGCAGTACCCATTTCAACGATTCCGAGCAACCAATTGAACAAAAGAGACTTTAATGGTAGGGGCCATTTCCTAATCTTATTAGAAGAAAAAGTAGGAATCTTGCGCTAAGATTAATAATACTGCCATAGTCCAAATGCATAAAACAATGATTTTTTTTACAAAATATTATGATCATCTTGAATTTAATATAGTTGCACTAAGTCCCACACTAAATAACGCCAAGATAAAGCCTCGTCCTATCTTTTAAAATTTGTATTTTAGTATCTGTTTCTTAAGATGTTCTTTTTTTATTAAATTTTTTCTATTAGTCAATTTATACGTCATGCTTGTTGAGCTCTTAACCACAAAAATGAATAAATGTATTTATGAATAAGAACAAAGAACGATAAAAGAGACAAATGAAGCCCCAATCTTGTGACGAGCCACCAAATGGTTTTAGATTTTAGTTGGGCAAAGGTGATTCAAGTCCATGTAAAATAGACAATTAATGTTTATATTCTACATTATATATTTGTTAAATTAACTTTAAGATTAATTTAATTTGCTGGGTACAACACGTACGTACAGCGTAAAACTTATTTTGTACAATTCAACTTGATGATTTGTTTCTTTACCAAATTAGATGAACCAAAACTTTTCCATAAATCATATGTGGTCCTTGTGAATAATGGAGCATTTGCTTTGACAGCACTATCTTTTAGCAACTGTCTTCTTCATTAACCACTGTTATAAATTTCACATTTATTAGAGGTCCATTGCTAGCTAGGTACAGGGCTTCACATTTTTTCTTTTCTTTGCCCTGTCTTATTTCACTAATACAATGCCTTGTTGAAGATTTAGTTAGAACATTAATTTTTTAAGTTGATAAATAGCTCACACATTTAACAAGGAGATAACTTTTAATTTATGAAAAATGTTAAACCTTATAATTTTTATTGATCCTAAAGAAATAAATAATAAAAAAAATATATGAAATCTTGTATCTGCGTTTGTATAATAAAGCGATGAGAAGAAAGAAAAATATGATATAAGATTATTTTTATGATGAAAAAAAATGTATATCAATACCACGACAGCAAATAGTAGGATGCAACGAAAAGGAACTTTTATTGCAATAACAAGAGAAATTAGGGTTCCAGTTAAAATGTTTTATTTTACATTTAATAGAATAAATTATATATCTTTTTTTATCATCTACAATTATCTTACTTGACTCGACAGAATTGCCTTTAACGAAAGACACTTATAGTCTAAACAAAAAAATAACAATTAATTTTTAACATTTTTTTTTATATAAATACTTTGAGCGATCATCCTTTGAAACCTCCCACTTAGCAACCAGAGGCATTATATCATTCTCTTGAAACAATAAATGTCTATGGTACAAGTGTAATATTGATTGAAGTATATAAGACAATCTAACTACCAATATATTTTGATTTAATACTGATTTTAATATATTTAAATTTCTAAATTGAACTTTGTGTATTTACGATGAGTTTAGATTGTCTCAACATAGTTTAGTGTTATTTTTAAAAAAATATTTTTTAAGAAATTATATATTAATAATAAAATTTTAAGATTTGACATATATTACTTTACATGTGATGATATCATATTTATATTGATATTATTATTTTAAAATACATTTAATTTTATATTTTATTAATTTCATAATTTAATTATATACAGTATTAACATTGATATATTTTATTTGTAAATTAAGTTGAATCCATATTATCTCAATATTATCAATTTTTAATCAATTCGAGGTCAAATAAAAAAAAACAGTTATAAATTTTTTTAAAACTAAATAAAAATAAAGGTAAATTTATTTCAACTCGTCACATATACATCCTCACACAGTCACATATTAATATTAGGCCAAATCATTAAGGTACCACAAATCCTTAAATTTATTTCAGCATTAGAGAAAAAAACCTATATTTTTAATTAATATTTTTCATTTTAATTCTTTAACTAATGTTTTAAGGATACGAGTTAGTATTTCTAACAAAATAAAATTATAATTTTTTAATACAAACAATATAATTCTTTTATTTGCTATAAAAAATAGTTTGTTTTCTCTATTAATATTTTAAGAGCATAATATTCCAACAATATATATTTTTTAAAGAAATCCATTTAGTTGCCTGTAAATATATCATTTTTCAAAGTATATATTAACCTTTTTAAAGAATAAACTTAAAAACATGCTAAAAGTTTGTCAAATACAACACGAATCATTGAAAATTCTTAAAAATAATAATTTTAAGTAATTGTAATAAAACTTAACTTGTCTTAATAATTAAACTATATGATTACACATGAGCATAATAAAAGTTTTAAACTAAGAATATGTTAAACTAAAATTATACAGACATCATTCTTTGTTTAATAAGTTGTACGTACATATATGTATGTGCACTATTTTTCTTACAAAATAGATGCAAGACAAAAATGAAATACTACCCTTTTCCTTCTACAAAGGGCAGCATTGAAGGTGTCAAATTACTGAGTTTGTGAGATTTTTCTGTTGAATTCTGATACAATTATTATTATTATTGTTTTCTTACAGAATCAATGTTATCATATATACAACCTCCAGTCAATAATAGGCACACATGTATGTTTAAGGCTTCAAGCCCTTGCATACGCCAAAGGAGGGGGAGAGGGGGTAGAATATATTAATCACAGTACTAAGATTGTAACTTAGCATGCGCATGCAGTATACGTCACATACGGCGTATGCGTAAATAGGCGTGAAAAATCCATTACCCTGCAATATACATGCCGTTCGCATTGCAATGATATGAGTCTTTCAATTCATTTTTTAACATTAATCAATTGTTAATTGAAAGTGAAAGGTCTCTGTTAAAGAGAAAAATATATGAAAATACTAATAAGTATCTTTAAGATAAAATTTCATATTAAAAATGTTATTTTTTTTAATAGAAATTTGTTGTTAATATATTTTTATTATGCTTTCTAATAGTGTGTTTTTTTAACTCAAAATACCCATCTTTTTCTCTCTAACCCATATATGAATTAATACGATAAACAAGGGATATAAAAAAAGTAATAACTTTCAGTAAAATTCCAAAATATTTTAAGTAAAATCTTAAATGTATAAGAAATAAAAACAGAGAGAGTATTTTAATAAAACTAAATTTTAATTATTGATTTTTTTAATTACTAATTTATTGAGTATTGAACGGGAAAGCAAGTTTGTTCTCTGTTGAGCTTTGACTGTTTGAGTTAGGTCTGTTTAATAATCGTAGATAAGAACATGTACTTAAAATATATGCAGTAAGCGTGGGGGTATATGTTATCTATAATAGTTGAAATACATAAAAGGCCAAAAGCTTCATAGCTAGCAGAGCCTTTTTCCTTTGTTTTGAATATTATATTCTTATGGGTAATATATATTGTATAGCATTTAATTATTTATGCATCATTTAACCTAAAAAAATCGATAAGGACATAAGAACACAAGGAAAATAATTGAATAATCCAAATTAGATTTCTAAAGGGATTCCATTTTGCAAACCTCTAAACATAACATTCATAAACGTCTGAATGAGTATAGACTAACGAAAATGGCACATGATGACGTAGAGCTTTTAAATTGTGCTTCTACGGGAAGACAAAAGAGCAAGCCAATGATTTTAGTTTTGGGCAAAAATGCACCAACCAATCATTTCAAGGACAGGGAAATCGACATTATCTGCAATTACGTCATTATACGCATGATCAGTAGTGCTTTTCGCTCCATTTTACAGTGATTAAGAGAAAATGATACGAAAGCTTTACGATTCATGATAAAGACCCTTAAAAAAAGTGTTATAATTCATTCACATTATTATTGATGGCACAATTAGGTACGATTACTTAAATCAAGCAAGTTTATTTATTATATTTTTATCATTATTATCACTTGTACGTATTATTTACCTATTCTTAAATTTAAAGAGTTGTATTTTAAACAAGTGACTATATTTTTAAAAAATATATATATTATTTTTATAATACAAAATTTATTTTTAACTTTAAACTATTTTTATGTAAATAAAATATATTGATATATTGTTGTATGTAAACTTTTAAAATAATTTGTTTAAACTCTTATAATTCATTACTATAATTCTTAAATCTGTCCATAAAATATATATATTTTTATTTAATGTAGTCTCGAGTAAGCTCATTAAACTAATATCGTAATTTTTCATTCGTAAAGCTAACTTCGCAAATAAAAGCATGAGTCTGAAATATATCAGTTAAGTGCTAATTTTAAAAAATAAAATATTTGAAACTAAGTTAGAATTTAGTTATTAATTTCTACCGGCTTTTGTTAAATTTTTCTATTTAGTATTTGTTCTTGTAAGTATCAAGCAACGCCATTAACATGAACATATCTGATCAACAGCCTTAATTTCTCTATAAAAGTTTAAGATACTACAAAAGAATTAACAACTTAGTATCAACACAATGTTATGAAAGATTTCTCAACAAAGTGTAAAAAGAAATGGAGAGAGTAATAGAAAGATACTGTAAGCTAAATAATAAGTTGATCGTGCGTGATGGGAGGCTAAATGACAAAATATCAATACAAATTAAGATAGGTTAAAAAGGATCTAGTTTCAACCACATTAATTAACAAGCCTTTATAATCCTTGATTTTTCATCACTTAAAATCGTGCTTTACAAGTTTTAATTGTTGATTGATGAAGAAAGGTCAATTATATATGCATCCATAATCGATGCACTTACGTGACATCTTTGAACTTAACCTCATAAAAGTATCCCCTTAATTAATGATCAACATTGAAAAGAAGCCCATGA